ATCCCTAACCTGAATCCTACTCATCCCTAACCTGAATCCTACTAATCCCTAACCTGAATCCTACTCATCCCTAACCTGAATCCTACTCATCCCTAACCTGAATCCTACTCATCCCTAACCTGAATCCTACTCATACCCAACCTGAATCCTACTCATCTCTAATCTGAATCCTACTCATCCCTAACCTAAATCATACTCATCCCCAACCTGAATCCTACTCATCCCTAACCTAAATCATACTCATCCCCAACCTGAATCCTACTCATCTCCTTTAAGGTCTGAACCTTACACATTTCGTGATCGAACTTTCAAATCAAATATTTTTACTCAAATCATCACTTGTTGGATCAAAATCTACACTTTTTAGATAACATTCTATATAATAGAAATAAAACTCTAAACTTTTTGAAATTTTAAGGCAAAATTGTTAATTTAAGAAAATATGTTAGGTCAGATTCTGCAGATTTTAGATTTTGCGAAATGTAAACTTAGATGTAAAAATAATTTTAGATCAATTTTAATATTTTTATATGCAGCATCATGCAATGCCATGTACCTTTATTTTATATTTCAATTAGATGGAAAATTAAAAAATTCAAGTTTCAGGTGAGTAATTAGTTCCTTTGAACCGAACAATATCTTTTTGAATTTTTATTCATTTGAATCTTTTAAATTTCGAGTTGGGATGCAAATTTTTTTTCCAGAATATCAAACACATGTCATATTCCTTCATTAAAAAGGACGATTTCCTCCTCTCAAAAAGATCACAGTCTTACAGTATACAATTAAATGGTTTTTTATGTGATACTAGCTTGGAACTCCAGCTTTGCTTTGAGTTTTCCCTGAAAAGTCAACCCACTCAAGTTAAAATTTTGAACCCAGACTAAGAACATCCCTCCAGGTTCTCTTTAGATCAAAATTCTAGGCAAAATTGTCCAGGGACGAGATATTTTTAAATATTGATTACTACTTTTTATATTTATATACAGATAAAGAATGCCTTCGAAAAAAATCTTTGCTTGAGAAGTCCTGACTTTATCTCCTTTAATTTATTTCTCAATACTTTTTTATTGGTACTTTATTGTATGTTTTATTGCAATGTCATCCATCAGAAGACGGGTAACTTACAGTCGATTAGACTATCAAATTGTAAAAAAAACGAAACAAAAAATGTCTAGTTAAATTAAAAAAACATGTCTTGATTTGTAATGCAACGCTTCTTCTTCTTGTAAAATCACGGAGAGTGGAGATTTTGGGCAAATCATTGTATACATTGTCACTCTGCATACTGTTCAGATAAAGACTAAAATTGGTTACCAATGACTTTGCATCAAATACAGGGATTTGCATTCTTATTTAGAAGCATTGCGTTCATCACGGTTAATACTTAAGTGGGAAGGATCGCAAACATAGATTTAAAACAATAGGTATACGGACCAGGTATACAGACCAGGTATGCGGACCAGGTATACGGACCAGGTATACGGACCTGGTATACGTACCAGGTATACGAACCAGGTATACGGACCAGGTATAGTGTATACCGACCAGGTATACGGACCAGATATACGGACCAGGTATACAGACCAGGTATACGGACCGGGTATATGGACCAGGTATACGGACCAGGTATACGGACCAGGTATACGGACCAGGTATACGGACCAGGTATGCGACCATGTATGGGGACCAGGTATACGGACCATTGTCATATTTAAAGAGTTTTAAGTCGTCATAAAAGTCTCATTCTTTCTGGGTAACCCTGTATATCCATAGAAGCATAGAACTTATACGAAATGGAATGTACAGTGTACACTGTGCTATTGACAACAACTAAATAAAGTTAAACTCTTCACTCTTGTACAAAATGTTTTAATGTAATAAACGTAATAAAAAAAACTTTTTTGCATAGATGACAATGCACGATTTACATCAGTACCCTTGAAGCATTTATCTGATACATTTTGCGGAAGATATTTTCATTTTTCTAGGCTTGAAAGTAATTCATTCCGATAATTCCTGTATGTTTTCCTGCAGTAGAAATGCGCAAGTCCCTTTTGTAGAGAAACCAAAAATTGAAAATAAAGTTGTTTAAAATTCTAAACGATGTTATCTAATTCATACTTGATCAGACAAAAGCTTGTGTAAGGGTGCCCTTGTGAATCGGGTATTGACATCTTTTTTAATTGAGGGTCACTTGAAATTACGCGTAAAGTCCCTTTAGACATATTTTCAGACTTAAAATACTCATACCTCAAAAATTAAAAAGCCCTCAATATTTTTTATGTTTTGCTTAATATCAGAATATTAAGAGCAAATCATATCTTGGCGCTGATTTTAACATTTTTCCATATCCCTAGGTGAATAAACAACATGCTTACTGTAACAATATAAAATACTTTGTTGGTTGTTAACAGGGGGCGGGCATAACTCTCCTAGTTTTGCCTGGCTAGGTTTATACTGTACAGTGAAATTTGTCGAAAAATGTTTCCTTATGACTGAGTTGGTATCATAGAGTACAGTGGGTTTAATCTTAAGTACATCTATTTGTACGGTATTTTGTGGACAGTTAATTTTAATATTTTCAACAATGAGATATTGTAGTGTCAAGAATTGTTTAAACAGCGATGTTTCGGGTTCAGAAATTTTTCATAACATACGAAAAGAGTGGATAGAACAAGTTATCTGGAAGACAAAAAACCCAATTTTTATATGCAGTGAACCAAAATGTAAAAAAATGGATTGCGTCAAAAGCTTTCAAAACTGGTTCTCCTACACAACCAATAGATTATTTATATTTAAAAATTACTTGTTTCACGTTAAGTTCATTTATGTAAAATAAATATTTCAACAGTTTTCAGTTCTTCAATAACTTTAAAATTAAGTCTAACCTAATTTAGATCTATTATTAGTTGAGAATTGCTTTTCATTCTAAAAGTCAGAAACATACAGGGTGTCCCACATCAAATAAGACCGCGTCAATGAGTCTAAACTACGATTTGGGGGACAAATCAGAAAATTTAAGAAGAATAAATCATTTTGAAAAATTTAATAAGGCTAATAGAATTTTTTTTTTGCAGAAAATGCTAGATTTTTCGAGTATCATGTGCGTATTTTGGCGCTAAAGATTGGAGATAATCTAATATGATATGGGACGCTCTGTATATTACTAAGAGTTAATGCACAATGTAGATTTCAGAAGTAAAGAATTTGATAAGAAGCAAGATGTTATTGAGAAGGATTTTATTTTTTTCTCTATTTGTCATGTCTCATTTTTCTACAAAAATCATATGGGCTTGTTTTCTTTGCTTGCATATTGTAGGCTTCGGATTCAAACTATAATGTCTTAAAACACTAATTTACGAATTGTGATCCCCCAGGTTGAATTTCTGATCGGGTCATTGTGTACAGTAGCTGTACAACAAGAAGTCTAAAATTCCAGATGCCCCCTCTATTACTAATATCTCGATGGTTGTTGATTGTATCTTTTCTTATGGTCTGATGGACTTAAAACTGTAATGTTGAATATTTATTGAATGTTATCTCTCTAAAGTAGAATTATCTCCTACTCCCAGGGTGAATTGAGAAGAAAACCTGTTTCTAAATCAGACTTTAGTTTCTCCTGCAGTTTGTACAGAATGTGATAACAAATCATCAATATTGTGTGAACATATATTTCTCAATTAGAATTTCTGTGCTATTTTGATAGATTTCAAATAACATCAATATATTTTAAACTTAAGTGCATTCCACTAAACATAATAATTTAAAGAAGAAAAAGTATGGAATTGACGATTTGACAATTAAAGCGATGTATTGTTAATATTATTCAAATATATTTTTTATTTTTGTGTCTATTTGAATTACTGCACATTGTACTAATAAAATATCTTTTTTCAGAAAAATGAGAAAACAATGATGAGTAAGGTATGTTGTTTGTTCAAATATTGTTTGTTTAGTTTCACACAAACAGGGTTTTCCACAACTCATGAGACTTCAGTGACGACTGTACAGAATTTTTACTGTCTGTTTCCTATATTTTTGGATCCCTGCTGTACTATAAAACTTGCTTTTTTCTGCCCAACCATTACAAAGCCACGAAAGGACTATATTTATGACAGAAGATCGATTAAATTCAACCATCAGATGATACAAATTTCAGGTCGTCTTTTTCGTCTCATGTTTTTATTTAATGTTTGTTGAATACAGATAGGCTGATGTATTTTTTGTTTGTATCATACATTAAGGTTCACGATGTATCGTTTTTGGTTTAATCTGTTCTGATGCTGAAATACTTTACTTTCATATATTTTTCGATGTAATTTTTGCTTTTAATAATATGTTCCAATTTGTTATTTACGCTTTTTTGTTATCAAGTAGAAAAATATATGCAAATTAGTTAAAAATACTAGTTGATATCTGACTGTATAGTGTATACACTGGGAATACTAGTTGATATCTGACTGTATAATACACCGGGAATCCTAATTGATATCTGACTGTATAGTGTATACACCGGTAATACTAGTTGATATCTGACTGTATAGTGTATACACTGGGAATATTAGTTGATATCTGACTGTATAGTGTATACACTGGGAATACTAGTTGATATCTGACTGTTTAGTGTATACCCCGGGAATACTAGTTGATATCTGATTGTATATAGTGTATACACCAGGAATACTAGTTGATATCTGACTGTATAGTGTATACACCGGGAATACTAGTTGATATCTGATTGTATAGTGAATACACCGGGAATACTAGTTGATATCTGACTGTATAGTGTATACACCGGGAATACTAATTGATATCTGGGAATACCACTCTATGTAATTTTTATCTTCACTTTGTCACGTACTACGGTCTAATGCAGTGTGCATAGGACCGGAAAAAAACGACCGTTTCGTCTTTTAACGACGTAAAAACTGTTTAAAAACAAATCGTCTTTTGAAATTGAAAATCGTAGGTCTTTTTTGTTTTCGTTCCTCATTTTGTTAACGAAGGTTGGTAGTTTTTAATTTTTTTCGATCGCTATAAACGACGACCCTTCGTTAACAATAAAATACATTTTTGTATCTGAAAACAAAAAAACCTTAGGTCAGAAAACATTAAAGTCATTTTCCTCTATAAAAAACCATGACAGATGGCATTCTTAAAATTTTCTGACTGTATAAAAAAGGTCTGGAAACCTTAAGTCATAAAATACTACGTTCATTTTCCTCGATAAAAAAAAATGTATAAAAGGAAATTATAAGTAAAAACTCGTATTGATTTGCAATGTAAAAAACGATCGTTTTGTTGCTCTGTTGTTTCGTTTTTTCGTTTTTTTAAAGTTAAAACGAATGGTTCGTTCGTTGTGACCCATCGTTTTTCGATTGTTTTTTAAAACGATTCTATAGCCAGGGTTTCTTTATAACTATAAAAACGACCCAAAATAAAGCCAACTAAAACTATACTTTCATATTTTCAACTGTTAAATTTTATTTCACATTCTATTTTGCGAAAAACCATCCAAGAAAAATCAATCACGTCCAAATTTCTGACTACAACGCAATACTAAATTAAAACAAAACAAATACCGTACTGCAGGTCATACCCCAGTTCAGTTAATGCTAGATCAGATTGCTCAAATTCCATTATTCAATTTATATCTGATCAAGCGTACACGGTACACCTTCACGGTTCCATCCCCGTTGAGTACTATCCTGGCCCATTATTTCAAGTTTAAACATTTATGTACTGATATTTATTTGTTTAGTACGTGTTAGGTTTGGATGTTGGTACAACAACCCTTAGAAGTTTTCTCTACAACAATAAAGGTATCAAGGATGTTTTTGTTTCAGCAATTAATTTTATCATTTTATTCTCCTTTCCATAGACGTCAGGAAGTATGTCAAAGGAAATTGTTTTGGCCACAAACTCTAATTTTGAAATCCCTATATCTTTGCAACATGATTTCAGAGACCTTTAATATTTTAAACTATGGGCCTGTTAGATCAAATATCCTAAGTTCTAAATATCAGAGGTTTACACCATCAGATTGCAAAGATAAAGGGACTACAAAATATGAATTCTGTTCTTTAATGTGCAATTACTGGTCTTGTTATCCCGTAACCCCATTGGCTTAGTTTTCATACATCGGAGTAATTGAAGCATATTTGTTTGGATGAATATCAGGATGTTAAACCTTTTCTTTTATATAAATAGATGTTAAATTAAACAAAGGAGTTTGAGAAAATGCATGATTTTAAATTGCAGTTTACTTTAGCTTCATGTTATTTAGGTGAGGTTTGCTATAGCTGTGTTGAGAAGGTAGATCTAGTAAATCCCAAACCAGGATGGGTTGAGATAGATCCAGATATTCTTTGGAATAAAGTTGTCAAGGTAAAGATAGATCAAGTAAATTTAAAACCAGAATGGGTTGAGATATATCAAGGTATTCTTTAAGTACTAGAAACCTGTGTTACGTGTATCCCCTGTATTCTCTAGGTACTAGAAACCTATGTATTCTCTGTATGCTTTAGGTACTAGAAACTTGTGTATCCCCTGTATTCTCTGGTACTAGAAACCTGTGTATCCCCTGTATTCTCTAGGTAATAGAAACCTGTGTATGCCCTGTATTATCTGGTACTAGAAACCTGTGTATCCCTTTTATTCTTTAGGTACTGAAACCTGTGTTTCCCCTGTGTTTTCTATAAGGCACTAGAAACCTGTGTATCCTCTGTGTTCTCTATGTACTAGAAACCTGTGTGTATCCCCTGTGTTCTCAAGGTACTAGAAACCTGTGTATCCCCTGTGTTCTCTAGGTACTAGAAACCTGTGTATCCCCTGTGTTCTCTATAAGGTATTAGACACCTGTGTATCCCATGTGTTCTCTATGTACTAGAAACCTGTGTATCCCCTGTATTCTCTAGGTACTAGAAACCTGTGTATCCCCTGTGTTCTCTAGGTACTAGAAACCTGTGTATCCTCTGTATTCTCTAGGTACTAGAAACCTGCGTATCCCCTGTATTCTCTAGGTACTAGAAACCTGTGTATCCTCTGTATTATCTAGGCACTAGAAACCTGTGTATCCTCTGTATTCTCTAGGTTACTAGAAACCTGTGTATTCTCTAGGTACTAGAAACCTGTGTATCCCCTGTATTATCTAGGTACCAGAAACCTGTGTATCCTCTGTATTCTCTAGGCACTAGAAACCTGTGTACCCTCTGTATTCTCTAGGTTACTAGAAACCTGTGTATTTTCTAGGTACTAGAAACCTGTGTATCCCCTGTATTATCTAGGTACCAGAAACCTGTGTATTCTCTAGGTACTAGAAACCTGTGTATCCTCTATATTCTCTAGGCACTAGAAACCTGTGTATCCCCTGTATTCTCGAGGTACTAGAAACCTGTGTATCCTCTTTATTCTCTAGGTACTAAAAACCTTATTATCCCCTGTATTCTCTAGGTACCAGAAACCTGTGTATCCTCTGTATTCTCTAGGCACTAGAAACCTGTGTATCCTCTGTATTCTCTAGGTACTAGAAACCTGTGTATCCAATGTACCTAGAGAGGATGTGTCGGGTCTGGGTATCTCCTGTCAACGAGGAACGTTCACTTGCTGGTCGAAATCTACTGGAAGGTTAATCTTAAAGGGATTGTTAACTTAAAGGGAGTGACCGGCTATACATGGTAGTGGATACATTTTTACCGACGTATTCTAATGAATTTTTAAAGACCGATTCTTTAAACGTATCCTTCAAAAGGAAAATTTTGGAGAATTAAAGGTCGTAAATGAAACCTATAAAAGATCTCTACAATACTACACTCTCAGCTCAACTACTATGTCTGGCCGGTCACTCCCTTTAAACCAACTTTCCAAACGTTACTCTTTAATCCCTTGCATGAGAAACTTTGAGCTCATCGTGTTGTCGTTAATTTAGTTCTGACATTTTTTACTTTCATAATTCTGTAGAAATCTGATCGTTTTCTAAGAAGGTTGTGATGCAAAACATTCTTATTGTGATGCAAAAACATTCTTATTGTGATGCAAAAACATTCTTATTGTGATGCAAAAATATTATTTTCTTCATGCTATGTTATTAAATAACAAATAGTCAATAATATAAAAATAATTATCAAAAATATGTTTATAATTTATTTATAGACCGTTTCACAACCTGATAACCTGGAAAGATCTACGGGCTGATAGTTTAGTGAAAATGTGGAATAAAAGCTTCAGGAATTCAAACATGGTTTATATGTCTGTAGGTTGTGACGACTGTAGTTTACAATATTTATTTTGTTATATTTTCTTCAATCTTTGGTTCCCAGCAACTGACTTTTATTGATTCATTAAAAGCGAAAGACAAAATTTAACATTTTGATGAATACATCTAGATTTTTGTTGTCGTCATTAAAGTCTCTTTTTTTAATGAATACATCTAGATTTTTGTTGTCGTCATTAAAGTCTCTTTTTTTGTTGTCGTCATTAAAGTCTCTTTTTTGTTGTTGCCGTCATTAAAGTCTTTTTTTTGTTGTCGTCATTAAAGTCTCTTTTTTTGTTGTCGTCATTAAAGTCTCTTTTTTTGTTGTCGTCATTAAAGACTCTTTTTTGTTTCTGCATGATGCAACTTTATCAAACTTTTCTTAAAACACCAAATATTAAAATATGACATGGTTTCTATAGTATAAGAGCGCTGAGATTGGGAGGAAAAATATTACACTGGATTACAAGAATGCCAAGGTATTTAATCAAAAAATATCTTAACATATAGAAAGCAATCTAATCTACAACTTGATTTCGATTTTAACTCTGAGAACTTTTAAATGGGGGGGAATAGCCATTGATCCCTGAACTACGTTATCTTTGCATGGAGTACCTAGTGACACCTACTACCTAGGGATAACCAAGAGGAGGAGTTGATTTAATCAGTTAGGAGTTAGGAATTAGGAGTTAGGAGTTAGGAGGATGCTTGAGCGTGGGATTTACAAGCCAAAAGTTTTGACGTACATTCCTTTTGCAATCAATCAATACGTCCGTCAAAACCAGTTTCATTTATATCTAAATTTTATAATTTTTGGGGGATAGCTTACTCGTTTAAATGAAATAAAAAACTCATTCCAATTTTTTTTCTAGCATTCTTAGTGTTTTTCTTTGATATAGATATCAGGCTGCTAGTATTTTCACTCTTTTCAATGGATTGGTTATACTCCGTCTAGTCTGGGCACTAGATAATATTCCAGGGCTCAGGGAAGCTGCTCAAAAAGGTATTTTGTGAAAAAAATGTTATTAAAAAATATGCAAAAAAATACATCCATGCACTTTTAGAATTCAAAAGCTAGTCATATGCAATAAATGCATTCTATTAAAATTCAAAATGTTTTGTATTTGAAGTATCGTGCACAGAAGCAGTTGTGGAATTTTATCTGTATTTATCAAAAATAACTTCTTATTCATCGTTACACAAGCTCAAAACTTTTAAGAAATTTGATTATTACAAAGCTCAAAATAGTTTTGTGTATACTAATATACATTACAAACATTTAGAGTTTAATAACGAGAAATGTTGTACTTTTATTTTTTTATTCCTGAGCTGATAGAATAAATGTCTATTTAACCTAATTTTTGTTTCTAATCTATAGGGTTTCCGTTTTAAATTCAAGTGTTCCTATTTGTAGAGGCTATGCCTGATTCACAACAGTACTCTATAAACCTTAAAATGATCAATAATGTGGAAGAAATCGTCGTTTTTCTAGCTTGAAAAGTGTTAAATTCTGTAAATTTCCTCCATTGCTACTGTAGCAGAAATCTTTTATAAAGAAACCACATCTCGTTCAGTCCTGATCATGAAAACTTTAAAGGGTATCGTTTTAAATCAACCATGAAAATTTATAAATGGAGGGTCTTTTAAATTATTATAATATAGTTTCTTCAAGTTCATCATGATAACATGTTTCGTCTAAATATTCAGTTTTTAGTTTTAACCCGATCCATCCCATCATGTTTGACGCTAAAAATTATTTTTAAAAATGAAAATAAAAGTTATTTTAATCGTTGAACACTGTTCAGATGATTTAATGTTTGGTTGTGTTGACTCCTGGCTGCTTTATAACCTTACAGGGAAACATATGACAGAGGTCAGTTATAATAAATTTAAATAATCCATTATACAGGCAGAACCAGAAATGTCTGGAATAGAAAGACAATATCTAATCAATGTTTTAGGGTATTTGATGTTTTACAGCGGAAATAGTTTTACTATAATACCTTAGAAATCCCTGATTAGGTGAAATGGGTTGTTACACTACCACCCAATTGCTGGGTCTTTAAAAATCATAACTCGAGTTTGAAAGTCATTTTCCTATTTCAGAGTTTTCTAATTCTCAGTATAGCATTTTATCTACAGGGTATTCCACGTAGCATGATGTGTAAGACACGCCTTTAAATTATTCTTTGATCTTGAAGGTGCCAAAAAAACTTCTTAAATTAATTTCTTAAAATTTAAATGTAAACTCATGAAACATTTTTATCATATAATTGTAATTTGAATGGGACACCTGCCAATGTTTTTTATTGGGATTTTTAAGCTGTTTAAAGGAAGTGTTATTGAATTCTCAAAGGGGATATAGACTATAGAGTAGAAATAGCAGAATAAAATTGAATAATTCCTTTTAAAATAAAATTTATACATTTTCAGATTTCTAACATTGCTGCCACTGGAATGTTTGATCCTTTCACCATGGAATACGCATCTTGGATATATTCATTGTTTAATATTCCAGGTAAATATATTCCTGGATATATTCATTGTTCAATATTCAATGTAAATATATTCCTGGATATATTTATTGTTAAATATTTCTGGTAAATATATTCCCGGATATATTTAATGTTAAATATTTCAGTTAAATATATTCCTGGATATATGTATTGTTAAATATTTCTGGTAAATATATTCCTGGATATATTCATTGTTTAATATTCCAGGTAAATATATTCCTGGATATATTCATTGTTTAATATTCCAGGTAAATATATTCCTGGATATATTCATTGTTAAATATTCCAGGTAAATATATTCCTGGATATATTCATTGTTTAATATTCCAGGTAAATATATTCCTGGATATATTCATTGTTAAATATTCCAGGTAAATATATTCCTGGATATATTCATTGTTTAATATTTCAGGTAAATATATTCCTGGATATATTCATTGTTAAATATTCCGGGTAAATATATTCCTGGATATATTCATTGTTCAATTATTCCAGTTAAATATATTTCTTGACATATTCATTGTTCAATATTCAATGTAAATATATTCCTGGATATATTTATTGTTTAATATTCCAGGTAAATATATTCCTGGATATATTTATTGTTTAATATTACAGGTAAATATATTCCTGGATATATTCATTTTTAAATATTTCAGGTAAATATGCCTGTACATTTTTTAAGTTGTCTAAAACTTGACGGAAAACACTATCCTCCAACTTTTAAACGGTTAATCTGAAGGATAAACTAATCTAAACTGATAAACTGTAACATTTTTGACATTAAGTTTCAGTTATGTTAACATTTATAATACTATAAAAAAATTGAAATTAAAAAAATATTTTTTGCATGAAAAAAATCCATCTTAGAAAAAATCTCTTCTTTAATCCCTTTTCCAATATATTTATGAATATTTAGAATCCATGATGCCCCGGATAGTGAGTTCCTGCGGGGATCATTTTGGGTCAACTTCAGCTGACCTGCTTGGTATTAGTATACCTATCAGAGCAGTTCTAGCAGATCAATCAGCCTCAGTATTCGGCTCAGGTATACGCGTATTATGTTATGTGCTAGTGCTTTGCATAATTACTACACTGTGCCCATCTCCTATTTTAATTTTTAATATTGTTCGTTAATCGATTTTCTCTTGAATTTTGAAAACGAAAACACGAAATTTATAACGTCCCACAAAAACGTTGGCCCGATCGATTCAGCCGTTTTGACGCTTGTCGGTCACAAACACATAAACAAACAGACAGACAAGCAAATTAAATTATATCTATATAGATTGATGATAGCAATAACAAATCAAACCTCAACAAACCCCCCTTCAAATATAACCGTTTTAAGGACGGATATGAATCCATACCAGTTGGTAAAGACAGGGGGGATGATAGTTCTCTACCTGTTTGCTCAGTTAGCTGTACTGTTTACACTTACAACTGTTTACTTATATTGATAAACTGTAGGTTAGGCCAAGGAGTTTTACCATATAAAGTTTCACAATTTGAATAATCATTATAATCATTATTTATTTCTACGATAGCAATATATCTTATTATCCCCCTCCCACATAATTGATGTTTTGCCCCTGAATTCTTTGTTTTGATCTTCTCCCACTGCAGTACACAGATTTGACGCATCAGATATGGCGGTTCCTGGTCTATATATTTCTTGGGTTAGGCCAGAATCTCCTTATAATAAACAAATATGTAGTACGCTCTCGGTATTGTTGATGGCCTATAAAATTAGTAAAGGATTAGAGTACAGCATCACTCTATACACTAAAACCTCGTTGGTAACAGACCAAGTCTTGATTATCCCAACTACCATCATGTCGATGGTAGTGATAACCAGAAAACTCTGAAATAGGAATATTACTGTTCCAATAAATTTATAAAAAGCCTAATGAGCATGAGATACAGAAATTGTGGAGTGTGAACATTGGCACGTTTCGCGAAATTAGTGATTTAATAAGCGTTCATTCAAAACATACTGCTTTGATACAACATCAAATACATTTAATTATTACATTAATGTTGTTTTATTATTATGTAGTTTTCTGGTTTTCACTGAAGACTGATCCATATTTTTACTCTAAATGGAGGGTTGCAGTCCCTTTAAACAAAAGACGTAAAATAAATAAATAATTAAAATATTTTGACATTTGTAGGTTGTACACAGCTAGGAGCAGCAAAGATTACCATGGGGACAGGATCATTTATTGGTAATTTAATCATTAACTTTACACACTAACAACCAAAAATAACTGGGTTTTTAACGCTATAGACATTAGCGAAAACAATATAAAATTTAGCAAAAGTTATTTTAACCCAGGAAATACTAAAAATACTTGAGTTTTACAATAAAATAGGTTGTATTTGATCTCCTGCATTAAATATAATCTTTTTAGTTCTTGTACTTATAACTAAATGATGGGTCAAAGTAATGATAGACTAATTAAGCTGCAGGAAATAATCACTCAAAATTCTCTGAAATAAGACTAAAGCTTTCTTCTCTAAGTCTTGTCGCTTAAAGGGAGTGGCTGAATAGAGTAAAACTGAGGCCGAACTTAAAGAATATGAGCCGTAGCTTAAATATAAGCCGCGGCTCAAATATTGTTGGTTCCACTTAAAATTGTATTCAATTTTTCAAGATTGAAACCGGCGCTCAATTAAAACCGGCTTTTGAGGGTTTTGAAACGCGGCTTAAATTAATTGAATTCGGACACAGAAAACACAATTTGAAGTGAATTTCAAATTAAAGTTTGTCCGATTTACAAATCTATCCTTCAGGCCTTTGTCGTCGGATCATCAAGCAATAAGATATTCTATTTTTTTCTACGTGAACTATATTTTGTATAAAGGTACTTGCGCATTTACGGCAGACAAAAAGAGGACTATTGTAAGAATTAAAAACTCTGCACTGCAAGAAATATGAGGATATTCCATACTTACTTGACAAAACTTAAGGTTTAATTGGTTCCCTTGTTCCTTGTTGACCTTTTTAAAATAAATGGTTTTCTACTTTGACAGATGTTGTTACCGCCTCAGCTCATGCTTCTATGAATGGGTTGATTCCAATCATCGGCTGGAAAATAAAAGAGGTAAGTTAAGTTATTATAATACTAGTCTATTAGGGCGCATCTTCTATTTTAACTTTTAATGGTACTGCTAAATGTATCAGTATTTTCTCTTCGATAAAACGAAGTTTTTATGCGGATTTACATCAAGGCATATTTTGTAATTCTGAGCATTCATAATCCTTTCCTGGGGTCAAAAGTTGGCCCCTTCTCTTTATTAATCTTAAACTGACAGGATTATATTTGAGATAAAAGATATATTTCCCAAAACAAATAAAAAGAATGCAACATTTCACGCCTGCTGAGTCTTATCTGAACATTTCCTTAATTCTCCAGAAAATTGGAAAATTCTGAAAAACTTATCCCGTCAAAAAACTTATCCCGTCTAAAAACTTATCCCGTCTAAAAAATAAACAAAACTATTGCATTTACTCCATATTTTAATGCGACCAATATAATCAGAACTTTATATATACCAAGGTACTAGTGCAAGGAAAGTTATTTCAGAGGTATACACATTTTGTACTGCAGTGTACTGTCTTTGGGCGGAAAAGTAAACACGAGACGGATGTCACAGCCTGTCATGGAATCCATTTTCACAAAAAAAATAAATGAAATATTCTGGTCATAGGAAACTATTATGTGAATTATCAAAATTATCAAAATTCAATGCTTTTAACCTCCTCGGATACTAAACGAACACTGATGCATCTATTCTTGTTTGCAAATTCCGCCCAGAGAGAACTGGTTTCAATATGTACGCAGAGTATACGCGACCGCAATTAACTTTCCTTGCATTAGTATCTTGATACATACTAACTTTTAGGAAGTTGTTCATCTAGCAGAAGGAAGGAAATTCTGAGTGTTTTAAGACAATAAAAGACAGGGTTACACTAACGTTATCACCCCCTCTAATAAAAAAAAAACTCTCACAACATGATTGAGAAATTTTTTTTTCAATTTAATTTACAAGGCTTCTGGGGCGCTTTGCGCCCGTTTACTAGGAAAATTTTAGATTTAAAGAGTTGTTCTTTAAGTCGCCATTTTGTCATTGTTCTCCAAAATAAATTGTTCAAATTGAGGTCTTTTCAAATATAATAAATTTCGACTTATTTTCAGGGACACGTTCTTTAATTTTGACGGTCCATGACCCTTCCCTGGCCCGGTGGGTTTAGCTGTTTTGACGTTTATTGAATATAAACAAACAAATTGTTGTCGCATCTGTTTTGTGGCCGAGGGACATATGAACACATAGATTTTCCCATTTTCTATATTTCTATTTTTCCTTAAACCCGTAACAGGGTCTGTACACGATACCGGAGTAATACTGGACTGGGGAAGGTCTGTTCAACTTTTTGACGATTTCAACGATATCAGGTATTAACCTGGATTTCAACGATATCAGGTATTAACCTGGATTTCAACGATATCAGGTATTAACCTGGATTTTCTTTCAAATAAGGAGCTAAATGCTGCCTTTTTGGTCCGTTATAAGTTAAAATATATTTTTTTTCTTTTTCAAAGTATACAACCTACATTTTTCTGTTTTTTTTGTTTTGGCTAGTTTTTGATTTTCAATGTTTATTTTATTAGTAATTGTAAAACCTTAAACAATATATATCGACACCATCAAATATTCGAAAAAGTTTGAAAATATGGGTTTTTTTCACTTTCAACCTTCTGATAAAAAATGTGAAATCTATGAAATCAAATATGATTGCAAATTTAGAGTTATCAATACTGCAGTGCTTTACGCCTAAAAAATTATAAAGTTTAAAAACTTCTAAAAAAACAATTTAATAATAACATATTTTTTTGCCTAATCATTAATATTGCAGTGAGATAGTGAATTCTGTTGCAGACTGTGGAGGAGTATATTTTGTTCCAGGTTACCTTATTTTCTTTATTTAAAATATTTAATTAAAACAGATATGTGTAAACAGATTCAGCTAAAGATGAGCATCGATTATATATTTTTTTTTATTTTAACTCTTTTTTACTTTTATATAAAGAGGCTTTATAAAATTCGAAGATGTAAATTGTATTTCAAAACTTATTTTATTTGAGTTTTTGCATTTTGTAAAGTATTTACTCTGACGACTGTGCACCAAGAAAACGATGTCCATCTCTAGATCTAGACAAGGCTTGACTAAATAAAAAATATTTAAAATCTTACAAAATATAAAATTTCAAATGGTGGGATAATTATATTTTTATTGATTCAAACTACAAATTCACATATTTACATTCATATTAAAGGAATTAAGTCTTTGTCACAAACTCAATTTTCTAATCCCTATATCTTAGCAACTTGATGGTGCAGATCTTTGATATTTCAAACTTAGATTATTTGATCTACCAGAATTCATAGTTTGAAATATCTGAGGTCTACGGAATTGGGTTGCAAAGATAAAGGGATTAGAACATCTTAGTTTATGGCAAAGACTCAAGTTCTTTCTAGGATTCAATGGAATGCAGAAACCGGTATTAGACCCCTCTGCCACTGCAGGTTAGTTATTCTTAGAACTGTACACTGTACACTGTACAGTGCAGTACAGTACAGTACAGTACAGTACAGTACACAGCTCAAATTCTAAGAATATTCCATAGGATTTAATAACTTCTAATCAAAGGTTTTTTGTTTCAAATTAAAAAGACATTTTAGTTGGGTTGGGTTGGGTAAGGGTCTAAACATTATAAGTTTTCACTGTATGGAGGTAGAGTAGAATTTTTAAGAAAAGAGTGGAAGTGGAAGTAATTGATTAGATAGGTCCTTTTTTAACTTTGTATTTTTTAAAAGTAGAAATAAATCCTGAGCTGCCTTATTATTAGTAATAGAATAATAATGAAAATATTCCTATTTTCCTCTTTATAATTCTACTCTCATTTGTTAACTTTGTTCATAAACAAATATACATCGCTAGATATATAATTCGGTCTGGGTTGACCCTCTTTAGTCCTAATGATATAAATTAATAATAAAAAACGAAAATATTTAAAAATCACAAGAAAATAATAATAAAAACTGTTTAAAAAGTTGTCAGATGAAAAAGGTAACAAACTCAAATCATGACCTCGTGTAAAAAAAGATAATTTGTAAATACTCACTTTTTTTAAATCAATTATTAGTCCTTGAAATGTTTCTTCTCATGATCAATTGTTAAGAAGTTAAAACTCATTATTTTTAAAACCTTTTTAAATGTTTAGGATTCATTGGATTGAATATAAACACAACTAAACCCCAGCTTCTGAGATCAATTCTTGGTAATCCAGAAGATTTATATTTAAAAAGTTAATTATTAATTATGAATATGGTTTCATATCCGAACAATAAAATGAATAAAACTATATTTTGTATCACTTTAAATGAACGAGGTCTGATCAATAAGTTTTGCTAAAAATTTCTTATGGGTACTTCTAGAAGACTTAGCTCTAAAATTTATTTTTAAGAGTTTACTATATTTAATATTTATACCGGATACATTTTTGGCCAAGTTGGCATCAAGTTGATTATTGATATATGTTGCAACGCAGTGCAGATTTTAAAATTGGTTGTTATAACTTATGATATCTCTAGACATGGATGTATCTACTGCAAAAGGTTTCATTCGAGTGACACGACTTTTAACCTGACGGTCTCAATGGAACAGTGTGGTTGTGAAGTAAGGCGTATTCTCCTGAAGAAGGATTAGCTTCGTTGTCACAGCGCAGTAGTATCGTGAATATTGATCAGAGGAAAAGGACACTTCAGAGGCTCGGTTACCCAAAAATATTTCTATTAGACGATGCAAAGACCCTGAAACATGATCCAGAACGCATTATAAAACGATTTAATGAACTTTAATGGTGGTTTATTGGGGTTAAGGAGGAAAAAATAAATATTTGAAGGAATAAGACATGCCCGGGCAGAAAAAGACTATCAAGACCTTAAAAATGGTCAAAAATATTGAAAATTGTTCAACTCATATTAGCAAGGGTTCAAGAAGTATGTTTGCCAGACAGCTTCTTATTACACATTCTTACATTGTAAACAAAGTTGTAAAGCAAAATTTAAAATGACAAATATCTGGGTTAAATTTGTCTCAAAGTCTTTGACATAGGACCAAGGGGATGACACTGATTATGGATTTAAAATTTAAATCAAATCCAGAAAAATCCTCAAAAGTCCTTCCTACATTAAATACTCATTCTTTCTTCTTTTCTTTTAATCGCTCTTAAAGAATCTAAAACAGACTCTGATGAATCAAGTTTGAGACAATTCTGAAAATTTTCTTGCTGTGACGAACGAAGCTGATCACTTTCGGGAGAACGCTTCTTACATTACAACAAAGATGTGTTTGATATCAACTGATCTAAAAAATAATCCTGTATAAATATAGTGAATTCAGGGTTTAGACTTCTGCAAGCACCCCTAATATGTTTTTAGCGAAACTTATTGATCACACCTCCTATCTACTCATTATCATATATTTTAGAATGTATTGCATTTACTCAGAAACAGTTGGTAGATTCATTTCTTACAGAATCAAACTATAAGGTGAAAAAAATTCCGCTTACAGTGGGGCCCAAAAAACTGTGGAATAGAAAGGACGACGACAGTTAGGCTCAAGTTATGCTTCCAAGTAGTCCATTGAACATGAAATACAGCAATTAGGCCCGGGTCCTAACAAGGGGGGAAGTCCAGGGAAGGAATTCGCATTAGATCATTTTCAGAGAGCGACTCTGAAAGAATAAGCGATGCATCCTTATCCCTGAATTCGGCCCTGGTCAGGATCCGGGCCTAATTTAGGACATGGACATAGATGTTCACAAATCCAACCCCAACCTAACTACTAACCCGGGAGTACTTATGGAAACCTTAGTGTACACACGTTACACAAACCCAATTAATAAATTGATTTTTAAACTACTGGAAAAAACTATTTGTTTTATAACAACATCAAAAACACATAAATTTCTCAAATGTCGTCTTTCTATTCCACCTCTTTTTGAAGATTTTAAAATCTTCAAAATAATACCAAAATCCCTATTTTCTAAGTATGTCATTTAGATCGATAAACTAGTTGTGGATGGAGGTGTTGCTCAGAATGATTTTATTCTTCAATATATTGCTGATCTTACAGGTGAGAAGTATTTATCACATGATGCATGATGCATTGTTGTATCATTCATTTATCTGCAATAATTAAGAGAGATATTGTGGATAGGATTCTCTGAAAACGGTAATATTCTTATGCGTATGATTTAACATGCCATTATGGATGAAAAATATGTAAAAGTCCTAATTTCCTAGCTGTTAGGACGGTTTAGGAAGGTGGAGTTCTTTACTAGACAAGAACATTCTTGATTATGGATTAATCAAACAAAATAGTTTAAAGATTGAAACAATTTATTTCAAATTTAATTAAAATGTGATTTTGCAATTAACTATAGATTAATTAAAGATTTGTGCTTTCCGGAAGCTAAGAATTTTGGATTGCCTTGATCAACTCAAATCGATATTCATTGTGAGCTTTTCAAAGAATTTAGGCTTTGCCAGATACTTAAATTTTCTAACTATTTTACCTTTCCATTATGATGGTTTAAATCTTTGATATTTCAAACTTAAATCATTTGATCCAATAGAATATATAGTTTGAAATATCTAATGTCTACGAATTTGCGTTGCACAGATTTATGGATTAGAATACTAGAGTTGGATGACAAAACTCAATTCATTTAATAATTAAAGTTTTCTTCAAAAGTAAAGTCCACTAATACATAAGACATAAGTAAATAAATAGTTATCTGTACCCGCTCACATCGACCTACCTGCGTAGTTCTTGAACAAGCCATTATTTTTCTGAATAAATTGAATCTCTATTTGGGAGAAATTTTGCGAGCCACCCTAATTGTATCTTATGTCTTATGTCTTATGTCCGACGGCATTAATTAAACCACTGGAGAAGAAACCGAACTAACTCAATTACAAATAGTCTTAAAATATCTAAGAGTTTTGAGCTCAGGACTTCCTGTTGAACGACCTGAGAATGTTGAGATGTCTGCATGGGGTACAGCTGCTCTAGCAGGTATCCAGGTATGAAGCAATAAATATATTAACATTTTTACGATAACTTTATTTCAAATCAATCTTTCCTTTCCTTTCGTCAGTTTTATAATGTTAGTCAGTTTTTGCTGAAAGAAGAGTTTGAAAGAAATACATAGCAGTTTATTTTTCTACAGAAGATACTATCAATATATTAGATAAATCAGCTTTTGTATCATAAAGGTTGGGTTATGGAAGAATAGAGAAGAACTGAATAGTTTAAGATCCCAGGGAACATTTTTCACAAGAAACCCGGGAAACACAAGGTACTTATCACAACCAAGGGATATTACATAGGGTTACCAAAGGTACTAATGCAAGGAAAGTTAATTACGGTCGCGTATACTCTGCGTACATATTGAAACCAGTTCTTTTTGGGCGGAATTTGTAAACAAGAATTAATGCATCAGTGTCCGAGTATCCGAGTATCCGAGGAGGTTAAAAGCATTTAATTTTGATAATTTTGATAATTCACATTATAGTTTCCTATGACCAGAATATTTCATAGATTTTTTTTGTGAAAATGGATTCCATGTCAGGCTCTGACATCCGTCTTGTGTTCACTTTTCCGCCCAAAGAGTGTACACTGCAGTACAAAAAATGCGCACACCTCTGAAATAACTTTCCTTGCATTAGTGCCTTGGGGTTACCCACAAAGGACGAGACTTTATAAATTTCTAATTAAATTCTTTAGTTTTACAAACTTTTTTCTTCACCAAATATTTCAATGACAATTTAAGCAGAGACCCTAATTCACCAATAAAATAGTTTTATCATCCTATGCGTGCAACTCTGTACTATTAATGGAAAACCTTGTTGCAAATCCTAAATATACAGAGTATTCTACTCAACTTCCTGTCCCAAGAAACAGGGTGTCCCCTGCAAATCCTAAATATACAGAGTATTCTACTCAACTTCCTGTCCCAAGAAACAGGGTGTCCCCTGCAAATCCTAAATATACAGAGTATTCTACTCAACTTCCTGTCCCAAGAAACAGGGTGTCCCCTGGAAATCCTAAAATACAGAGTATTCTACTCAACTTCCTGTCCCAAGAATCAGGGTGTCCCCCCGAAATAAGATAGTTGAAAGACAAAATTATTTCATAAATTCTGTAAATCAATGATTTTTAACCAATTTGTCTAAGTAGATGTTTGTCTGACTACAAAGCCTGGCAGAAAGCTTGTTTAAGATTTACAAAGTGGAAACAAGAAGAAGAAGAAAACGCATAGAACATAATTTTCTTAGATTCAACATTTCAAAATTCTAAAGGAATTGAGTCTTTGTCACAAACATAATTTTCTAATCTCTATATCTTTGTAACCCAATGCCGTAGACCTTAGATATTTCAAACTATGAATTCTATCAGCTGAAAAAATCTAAGTTTGAAATATCAAAGGTTTACACCATCAAGTGGAAAAAATATAGGTATTATAAAATCGGAGTTTGTTACAAAGACTCAATTCCTTTTAAGGTGAAATTGAAGTAATGCAAATTCATTTATAGAAAACATTTAGCCAACTCTTGAAACCACAGTTGGAAGTAATCAAATTTCTTATAGAGCTACACGGATAGCTCATTCATTATTGATCAGACAAAGCTTTTAAGAGTACATTTGTAAATCTTTGTAATAGTTTAATTTATTTAATTTTTCATTAACTTAATCGAATAAAATTCTATTTAATTGAATTGGCACAAAGTTAATATTTATTTTACACATAGAAATATATTGAATAAATAGATATGAATTTTAACATGTACTAAAAAGTCGAGTAAAATGTATACATATAGAGGTAGAGATAAAGTTTAGGATTTCCAAGGCATGGAACAGTTTGACACTTTTCTAAAATACTGTTTATTAAAATCAAAATGCAATACTTTTATTTCATTTATAGAACCTTAACACAATCTTCAGTGTACAGTATTTAAATGCTGTATTCTGTATTTAGAACACTGTATTCTGTATTTAGAACACTGTTTTCTATATTTAGAACACTGTATTCTATATTTAGAACACTGTATTCTATATTTAGAACACTGTATTCTATATTTAAAACACTGTATTCTATATTTAAAACACTGTATTCTGTGTTTAGAACTCTGTATTCTATATTTAAAAACACTTTATTCTTTATTTAGAACACTGTATTCTGTATTTAGAACACTGTATTCTATATTTAGAACACTGTATTCTATATTTAAAACTCTGTATTCTGTATTTAGAACACTGTATTCTATATTTAAAACACTGTATGCTATATTTAGAACTCTGCATTCTATATTACGAACACTTTATTCTGTATTTAGAACAGTGTATTCTGTATTTATAACACTGTATTCTGTATTTAGAACACTGTATTCTGTATTTAGAACACTGTATTCTATATTTAAAACACTGTATTCTGTATTTAGAACTCTGTATTCTATATTACGAACACTTTATTCTGTATTAAGAACACTGTAGTCTGTATTTAGAACACTGTATTCTATATTTAGAACACTGTATTCTATATTTAAAACACTGTATTCTATATTTAGAACACTATATTCTATATTTAGAACACTATATTCTATATTTAGAACACTGTATTCTGTATTTAGAACACTGTAGTCTGTATTTAGAACACTGTATTCTGTATTTAGAACACTGTATTCTGTAATTTATCCATGAGACGAATATCGTCGATATGATAATTCTCCGGTGCTCTTGCCACGCTTAGAACACAATCTCCGATATCTGAGGGCTGAAGCATTAGATCCTGGACAATATTAAAACATTTTAGAAAGACGGAGGTCGGAATTATTGAACCGTGAGACGTCTTTGAACTTGGTAAAGATGGTTGAACTAGATAAACTAGATATACCTAGTCCAACTACTTCTTACAATTTATAAAATCTATCTTTACTGCTTTATATCCCTCTACTGATTGGAGACAAACAGGGTTACCCAAAAACAATGAGAGTGTAAAGACGACTTAAAACTCTTTAAATACTACAATCCCAAGTCTTCTGCTTTGAATGCGGTCCCTATATGGCTTATTTTATGATTTGGCAAAGAAAAAAAGGAGTCTATGTTTCAGAGAATCATGAATTTATATAGAAACGGTTAGTATAAATTCACCAAAGTCGTCTCTGAACTCTTATCCTTTGTGGGTAACCCTTTTCTATTTATTTAATTTTATATTTTCTAATATTTATATCTTTGCAGCCTGATGTCCTAGACCTTTGATATTTCAACTTTTAATTTCCGCCAGATCAAAAAGTTGAAGTTTGAAATAGTAAAGATCTCCATAACATGTTGCAAAGATATAGGGATTAGAAAATTTAAGTTTCTGGTGAATATTTAGTTCCTTAGAAATCACAGCAGTTCGTATTTATTTCAACAAATTTAAACATTAATAAATTTCAGGTTTGATTCAGGACAACATTGTTGATGGTTTCACCTTATTTTTGATATAATTGTCAGGATCTCCAAATCCAAACTTTTCCATCATGGCTCTCTCCTTCTCATTGTTCAAGGTCCTGCCAGCAGTTTTTTTAAAGAGACTGTACACGTAATTTCATGTGAGCCTTCACTTGAAGATTCACAATGGTACCCTTTAAACCTTTGTTTAAAGAAAAAATATACCAAAACGGCGGATACGCAAATACAAACCAAAGTGTGTAAGTTCTTACAAAAAAATCTAACAGGATTTTTTCAACTACATCTTTTAAACTACAACAAGCATCTTACAGTTTGAATTGTAGATATCTAACGATACTAAAAAATATGTGTGAGCTGGTGAGGTAAAATCAAAGCTCAAGGCGATGCAACAATTAAAGGGGGACGCGGTCTTAAAAGTTTATGCATAATTTTCATAATTGTCAGGTTTTTATGATTACCGTTGTGAAATTACGTAATTACAGTCCCTTTAATGTTAGGTAGTTTTGATTAATTATCAGTGCTGTGAGAGTTGAAATATAAATATTAAAAATATATCTGCAAAAACATTCATAAAATGCATCACCAATATTGATAATGCTAATAATATATTATTGCATATTTGTAATGTCAGCCAAATTTTTGTTGCCATTTTAGCAACGATATTGATCATTTTTGCAAGGATATCAAAGATATCAACGAGAAAATTATAGATTGTTAAAATATAATTCTAAAAAGTACTTCTCTAGTCCATCTGTCCAAATGAAGCCTGGTAGAATATTCGTGATTCTAAAATATAATCATTTAAAAGATTTTAACCTGGATTTTGAATTTAATATCTTTTTAGATTCGGGTTTAAAAAGCAATTTATAAAAATTTGAAATTTAGTAAATGTTTTGGGGCCTATTGCTTGAATGCAATAAACCTGAAGGGTTAAAAAGTGAGTAATGAAATGAACAGTACAGTCCATTTTTCGAGCTTGAAAGATTTTTGCTATTTTTTCAAAAAATAAGTTTTTATTTTTATTTTTTTTCCTGTTTTTACCTGACTCCTGTTCCCCTTAACTCCATCCTGAGGGCCTCACAAGTTCCTCTCATAAAGAACTTGGTTCCTTAAATACAGGGTGTCCCAATAAACATGGGATGTAATTAACGACTTTTAAATCGTCTTCGTTCCATATTGCATTTTTATGAACGCAATAATTGCAGTATTTAAGTTCATACAACTAATATAAAAAACATCTGGTCTTGAGATTTTTAAAATGAGGTCTACCATCTTTGTATCTTCAAAATTGACATAGATATTACAAAATTTGTACAAATTTCAATTTATTTAATAAAATTGTCTGATATCTTTGTCAATTTTTTAGACACGAGAACGGTAGACCACTTTCTGAAAATCGTATGACGTGCAGCCTCATTTTTATACTTTCTTTGCCATGCATTAAATATCAGAAATCAAAGATGACTTTCAATTCCCATGTTTATTGGGACACCCTGCAGTAGTTTGTTTATATCTGCAAATGTGTACGTGAACAAATCCTAGTTTTTAGCAAAGACCTTTATAATTTATTTAAAACTATCCAAGCTTTAACACAATCAAACGTAACATTTTCTTTTGAAATTCTTTTTACCTGTGTAGACTGAAACCCCAGCAAAGGGAACTCTCTCACTATCACTAGTTACGTTAATAATATGTCCTTTTCCCCTTTCTTTCATCAAGGGAACAAACTCTCCTAAACAAATATAATTTTGGTGGTTTAGACTCCCCTAATTATGTTAATAATATGTCCCTTTCCCCTTTCTTTCATCAAGGGAACAAACTCTCCTAAACAAATATAATTTTGGTGGTTTAGACTCCCCTAATTATGTTAATAATATGTCCCTTTCCCCTTTCTTTCATCAAGGGAACAAACTCTCCTAAACAAATATACTTTTGGTGGTTTAGACTCCCCTAATTATGTTAATAATATGTCCCTTTCCCCTTTCTTTCATCAAGGGAACAAACTCTCCTAAACAAATATAATTTTGGTGGTTTAGACTCCCCTAATTATGTTAATAATATGTCCCTTTCCCCTTTCTTTCATCAAGGGAACAAACTCTCCTAAACAAATATACTTTTGGTGGTTTAGACTCCCCTAATCATGTTAATAATATGTCCCTTTCCCCTTTCTTTCATCAAGGGAACAAACTCTCCTAAACAAATATAATTTTGGTGGTTTAGACTCCCCTAATTATGTTAATAATATGTCCCTTTCCCCTTTCTTTCATCAAGGGAACAAACTCTCCTAAACAAATATACTTTTGGTGGTTTAGACTCCCCTAATAATGTTAATAATATGTCCCTTTCCCCTTTCTTTCATCAAGGGAACAAACTCTCCTAAACAAATATAATTTTGGTGGTTTAGACTCCCCTAATCATGAGGTAAAGGTGTCTTCTTATATTTACCCATGAGGTGAAGGTGTCTTCTTATATTTACCCATGAGGTGAAGGTGTCTTCTTATATTTACCCATGAGGTGAAGGTGTCCCCTTATATTTACCCATGAGGTGAAGGTGTCCCCTTATATTTACCCATGAGGTGAAGGTGTCCCCTTATATTTACCCATGAGGTGAAGGTGTCCCCTTATATTTACCCATGAGGTGAAGGTGTCCCCTTATATTTACCCATGAGGTGAAGGTGTCCCCTTATATTTACCCATGAGGTGAAGGTGTCCCCTTATATTTACCCATGAGGTGAAGGTGTCCCCTTATATTTACCCATGAGGTGAAGGTGTCCCCTTATATTTACCCATGAGGTGGAGGTGTCCCCTAATATTTACCCATGAGGTGAAGGTGTCCCCTAATATTTACCCATGAGGTGAAGGGTCCTCTAATATTTACCCATGAGGTGAAGGTGTCCCCTTATATTTACCCATGAGGTGAAGGTGTCCCCTTATATTTACCCATAAGGTGAAGGTGTCCCTTAACATTGACATCAATCATCAAATCCCAGCTATCATACTCTCTAAAAACAAAACAAATCAAAACTTTAAAAAAGTGAATATAAGTCATACACAACAATTCATTGCTTTTTAATAAAAAAGTTCAAAATATTCAACAATTTTTAATAAATAGTAAAATTTCTTTCTGATAAACCGTTTGGCATAACTTTAACAGTTATGAATACTTACTGCAGTTGCTTACTTATGTAAATCTATCAAAAAACAATATCGAATTTATATTAGAAATATTGATTCAAATAAAACATATAAGCTACTTTAGACGTTACAATATGAAAATGTTATGGATGAAAGTAAAAAGATTTAAAACCTACTTATCATACCATATTCATTCTTTAATTTAACAAAACAAGTTGAAAGAAAAAATCATCTATTTTTCTAATTTTTTTCTTTGTTAAATCCTACTTGTCACAGAAGTCCTGGAAGGCCCAGACTCCAGCATTGTTGATAAGGAAATCAGGAACTCCAACCTATACCAATCAATCAATTCTCAAATTCTAATCCTTTAATTGTCAAATAATATAATCAATTTTACAATATTATACGATAAATTGTACAATAAATCGATCAGTTTTCCAATCATACGATAGATTGTCTAATTGATCGATCAATTAGACAATCTATTGATTTTCTGACACATGTTTTGTTCAGTTGTCCAATAAAACGATCAATTGTCCAGTCAATTGATCATTTATTCAATCAATTGATAATTTATTCAATTAATTGATCATTTGTCAATTAATTGATCATTTATCCAATTAATTGTCAATTCATGCGAAAATATGATAAAACAAATTCATGTTTTAAAAAGTGATACTTCACACATCTATTTAATTAAAATATTTTGTTATCATTATTGAAACTAGGTTGAAAAAATAATCGAAACAGCCAAGAGCTATTTTCCACCTAATTGCTTTATACTTGTACTGTTAATATAATCATCAATTTGTAATTGTAAACTCGTTCTGTATACAGACACATGCATTTTAGCAGTACACTTTATCTTTCTATCTAACCTTTAATATTTTAATTAAATGAGCTATGGTCAGGTGAAAGATCATTTTTTTATTCTTTTAATAATAAAGTAAGTTTATTTTTCTCCAACTGTCATTTACATAGCTGCACACACACAATGAGGCTTGAATAACTATCTATAGGTTCAATTTATCCTCTGGCTTAATCTATAATCTTTTATTTGTAAAACTAATGCTTAGCAAAGGAAGAGACAAGTTTACAACTTCGATTGTAAGAAAAACGACTGCAAAAATTTAGCAAAAGCGTCTCATTTTTAGAGGGTAACCCTGTACAAATATATTTAAATATTTATTCTGTATTTTTTACCTCGTCAACAACTTTTTTTACCATGGCTTGCACACTAGCCCTTAAATAATTAAACATTATTATCTTTACAATCTGAGCTCTCATTAATATATAATTTTTAATTAAAAGATTCTGAATATCATTTAATGGATCGTCAATGTAGTTTTTCCACTGACTCTTTATTTAGTAAACTCTCAACTCAAAATATGTGATTTTTTTAATCAGAAAATTTTTCTTTCTTAAAATTAAAGCGACCTGTAGAATTTAAATTTTCAGAAAGGTCACAATGAAATACGATGAGCTGTCCTTTTTTCTATTACCTATCTGCAATATTACAAGGGGCGCACATCCCCTTCCCTCCGTTCTCCAGGATAGAGTTTAGAAGCTGCTCAAGCTGACCCGCACTCCTCGCTACCACCACACAGTACGCACCGTTCCGGGCCAGTACCTGGAACCGGTACAATCCAGTACAATCCAGTGCAATCCAGTGCAATCCAATACAATTCAGTTCAATCCAATACAATCCAGTACAATCCAGTACAATCCAGTACAATCCAGTACAATCCAGTGCAATTCAGTACAATCAGTACAATCCAATACAATCCAGTACAATCCAGTACAATCCAGTTCAATCCAGTTTAATCCAGTTCAATCCAGTCTAATCCAGTACAATCCAGTACAATCAAGTACAATCCAGTACTACCACGACAATCTAGCACTATTCAGTACAATCCAGTACAATCCAGTACAATCCAGTGTAATCTAGTACAATCCAGTTATATCCAGTACAATCCATGTGCAGTCCAGTGCAATCCCAACAATTAAGTACACTCCATTAAAACCAATAAAATTTCAGTACAATCCAGTACAATTCAGTACAATTCAGTACTATCCAATACAATTCAGAACAATCGAGTAAATTTTAGCACAATCCATTACAATTCAGTACAATTATGCAAAATTCTGTACAATTCAGCACAATTCAGTACAATTCAGTACAATTCAGTACAATTCAGTACAATTCAGTACAATTCTGTACAATTCTGTGCAATTCTTTACGTTCCATTACAATTGAGTACAATCCAGCAAAAATTGTGAAAAGGAAACAGAAATTTGAAGGTATACATTGTTAAGGATTTGAACTTTTATGATTTTGTAGGATTCAACAAATTGTCGGATCATTTTAAGATTAGAAAAAGTATACCTCCGCGATTCCTTTGCCAGCTCCTCTGCTTGCACCTTTAAAAGGTAGTTTATGACATTTCTTAAATTTATCAAAAAAAAAAAAAAATCACAATACAAAAACATAGCACAAGTTGGTTAGACGCATGTATTCATTTTAAATCAAACAAAAATATAAATTAAACTTTCATTACTTGTATGCCTCTTTGTCGAATCTCTAGTATTTTCTGTCGAATTTGATAAGAGCATTGTGCGGAAAGTATTTAAGAAAATTCACGCTCATAAAAAGAAATCCAAAAAAATAAAAACCTGTATTCCCATGAATACTCTGAAATGCCAGTAATATTCAATGAAATCATCATTTTCAATTCATTATCTTCAGTTCATCATTTTCAATTCATCATTTTCAATTCATCATTTTCAAATCATCATTTTCAATCATTATTTTCAATTCATCATTTTCAATTCATTATTTTCAATTCATTATTTTCAATTCATCATTTTCAATTCATTATTTTCAATTCATTATTTTTAATTCATCATTTTCAATTCATTATTTTCAATTCATTATTTTCAATTCATCATTTTCAATTCATTATTTTCAATTCATCATTTCAGTTCATTATTTTCAATTCATTATTTTCAATTCATTATTTTTAATTCATTATTTTCAATTCATTATTTTCAATTCATTATTTTCAATTCATCATTTTCTATTCATTATTTTCAATTCATTATTTTCAATTCATTATTTTCAATTCATTATTTTCAATTCATTATTTTTGCACTATCATTAAAGCATTTACTCGATTGTCAGCCCCTAGACTTATAATAGATTATCAATAATGTTTATATAGTTGGGAATAGATAATTTATGTCAATATTTCATTATTCAAAGCAAAATAAACGCCTTAAACAAATAACAATGCTTTTATTGTGGAAGACGATGCCTGGCCGCCTTAAACAAGTTCCACTAGATTCAACGGAATGAGATAGAATGGATACGGGGCATTGTACTGACGGACAGTCTACACGTGTGATATCGAGATAGACTCATGTTCTGAACCCTCTAGTAATAAGTTTTAAGAAATATATATACTAGAAGTTATTTATGCGTTTTTTATTAGAGTCTGACCCACGTCCTCTATATTATGATAATTTAATAATGAATTTCACGCCAAAACATCTTCATATACTTAAATAATAAGGTTTTAAAAATGTGTAAGTTTAGAAAATATTATTATTTTAAAAAGTTGAACCTGTTATGACGCACACTTTTCCCTCCATTTTCTCTGAAAATATATTTTTATCAAATAAAAATAGAAAATATTGACAATATATTTAAACACTTTCCTTCAGATAAACCTTACATAATTCTGTTTTCGTGTACTAAAGTATTATGTCGTTAAATAGAATACATACACAATATGTTTCAGGAAAAGTGTTGAAAAACATTATAAAAGTGCAGATATGGATAAGGGAAAAATTATAAGAAAGCAAAAGGCGTTAAAACTATTGAAAGGCTGTTTTTAGGTTCGCTTTTAGACATTTAGGGGGTTTAACGTTTAAAGTGCTTCACAAAATATGATTGAAAAAATGCATTTTCGATAAGTTTCTTGTGAGCCTCTTTAAAGTCTAAATCTTTAAATTTTTTCTAATGATGTGTTAGTTAACGGGCAATTCTTTAATAGAAATACGATCCTTCCTTATTAACAGACCCCACCGGGCCCAGCTAAAGTTAAAAATCAGGTACAGGGTGTCCCACGAAACATGACAGTTTGTGAAGAGTTTAAAATGCCTTCTTCCATATACTGTATTAATAATATAGACTTTTTGCAGTTCACTTAGCTTAAAAAATCTTTTACTCAAATATATTTTATTTTGAAATCAATTTTACTATAATATGGCTTGCATGAAATTTTTTATATTATTTTCTTGGGGTTCAAACAACTTAACAAACAATGGAAGAAGACATTTTAAACTTTTCACCAACTTTCATGTTTCGTGGGACACCCTGTACATACAAGACACTTTAAGGATTCACCGACAAAGGGTCAAACGACCCAGGGTCAAACGACACAGGGTCAAACGACACAGGGTCAAACGACAAAGGGTCAAAAACGCGACAAAGGGTCAAACGATACAGGGTCAAACGACAAAGAGTCAAAAAATGCAACAAAAGGGCAAATTTTTTTTTATTTTGACGGTTAGTATTTTTTTATTATTATTTAAGGTTAGGTTAGGTACATTCTGGCCCGAGCGCAGCGGCTAGGACAGGCTAGGGGGCCGAGCGCTATGGCCACATGGTCAATTATATCCATTTATTTATTATTATTTAGGGTTAGGTTATGTTAAGACACGCACTTTTGACCCTTTGTCGTTTGACCCTGTGTCGTTTGACCCTGTGTCGTTTGACCCTGTGTCGTTTGACCCTGTGTCGTTTGACCCTTTGTCGTTTGACCCTGGGTCGTTTGACCCTTTGTCGGTGAATCACTTTAAGGATGTATTTAAAATCCCATCATCTTCCAATTCAGGCCTGCTCTCTTGGTATATGTTCTACATTTTAAAATGTAGATATCTAAATTTCAAGGGGGGTGCACGTCCCACTTTACAAGCCCCAGGGTGAAGCAAGCCCCCCCCCCCCGGTATACGCCCTTGATAGTAATAACAGTATCTGCATTTTGGTGAATCTTCTTGAAGATCCAATATGAAGCAGTTTTAATTACCTAATATTTCATATGAACTGTCTAAAGTTACTTTATATATTGCAATCTGCACAACAATTCAAAAATCACGCAAAAATCTATCAGCATTTTGCCAATTACTTCTTTATGAAAAAATCTAGAAACAAGTGTTCAGTAGTTCTAAAATGTCCATGTCTATCTATAGAAAAAGTATAAAAGAGTAAGTAATTATAAACCAAAGACCAAAGAGTTTGCGACACTTCAAAGTTAACACAGTCTTGAAAATTGATGCACAAATTTAAATATTAATAAGAAAAAATATCTACATGTTCCATGTTTTTTAAATATTAAGCCAATATATCCATCTATCAATCTAAAAATTTAAGTGGGGTGGGGTGGAGAGTGTGCGACACCAGTTCTCGTTAGATCACTGAAGTTAAGCACACTTGTCCACAGCTAGTAACTGGATTGGTGTCCAGACTGGTGTTCACGGGTTCGATTCCCGTACTCCACACAAACCTGTGGTTTCAAAAACATCTGAAGCCGACATCTGGTTCAAGCAGTTATGACCACCTGACGGATGTAGGAGGACAGAGGGGCGGCTGTCAACAACTCTCGCAGCGAAAGGGTGCGGGCTTTCTGCTCAACAAGAAAGAAGCTTCAAGTGGGATTGATCCAAGTGAATGACGATGAAGAGAGGAATGGTGGACAAGCAGGGAGAGTCTATGGTTGCCAGCTATAGGTACCTGGGGGTATCCAATCCGGGCTTACAGATGTTAGGGAGCAATCAGTACGGCACCTGGGCCTCATTCCAGTATATCAGAAGGATTCCTGCACTCTATATTCTCAGGCCTAAGAAGAATCTTAGGCAGCTGGAATCTTGTCAACCCTCTTCTCAGAATGAATGAAGCGTGGATGGATGAATGTGCTGCCAGATTACAACCCCTGGTAGATCAATATAAAAACCCAGACAACCCCAAACTTTCGCAATAGAAAAAATTACGAGATTTGATCGTAACAACCCGATCATGTCATGGGGACAAAAAAATCTCCTTTAAAAAAAAAAAAATCTAAAAATTGCTCGCAGGCAAGGAAAGAGTTGAAACGTTTTACCATAGAAATGAGGCGCAAAGCGTTCTTGGAAATTAATTATATTCATTATCAATATTTTCTGATAAAGGGTGTCCAACGAAACATGACAGTTGGTGAAAATTTGTCCATGTCTTCTTCCATATACTGTACTAGATATCAAAGACTTCTTGCAGTTTATTTAGTTTTAAAAAATCTTATATCAATTGTATTTTACTTCAAAATCAATTATCTTACAACATGACTGCAATATATATATCTTTATTATTATTGTTTGGCATCAAACCACTTAGCAAATCATGGAAGAAGACATTTTAAACTATTCACCAACTGTCATGTTTCGTGGGACACCCTGTACCTTCTTGAGATATGTAAGTTGAGCTGAGAGCGCAGTATTGTTGAGAAATTTTCTATGATTCATTTAAGATCTACAAAACGTTTTTACTGTGTACAGTTGTTCAGCAAGAGTGCAAATTTGATCATTAAAACTCTCCTGGATTGTCCATTTAGGAAGATTAATTTTGAAATTGGACTTTTATAATTATTTAATAACGATGACGAAAAATGTATTAAAGTTTATACAGTAAACTAATGACACGGATAGGAAAAAATGTATTGGGAGATTTCTTCAAATATCGTCTTATCAGATTGAAACGTTTCAGGAAAACGATGACAGCGCCATAAAAATCCATAATCAGGGAATAGGACAAAGGGAAGGGCAATAGCGCTGGTCTGGCATGAAAAAGCCAGTCGCACTGCTTTGCAGACAAGTTCGGTATTATACACGCACACTCTGTTGGTACAGACACACAACATGACTACAGTCAAGGAAATTGCAGAACAATGTCGTCAATTATAATTAAGCTTGAATAACGAGTAGTATATTGTAAACTAAAATCAAATTATATTCTTTGCATGAAAATGCTTATAGTGTTGACTTAAATATGTGATAATATTTTACATGCATATTAAACTTATGTTTAAGTAAACAATTAACAATAAACAAATGTACTCTCCTAGACTGTAAAAATACTGAGATTCTTATGTACCGTATATACCTAAAGTACACGCCTTTGGTTCAGTATTCCTTTCACACACTCTTTTGGTACAGACACACAACATTACGTTTCCGCCCCCTGTCCATAATAAATTATAATTATAGCTTATTTTCAATAATAAGAGTTTTTTTTTCTCCACCTGTTTATTTACAGGCCATATTGTTTTACTGTATTATTATTGTTCCATTTTTCGTCGTCGTTATTATTTAAAAAAAAATTTAAATTAAAGCCTCCAGAATCGACAATCCAGTAGGATTTTAAAAATCGAATTTGCGCTCTTGTTGAACTTTTTTACACCGTAAAAACGTCATAGCTCTCAAATGAATATTTCCATGTCTAGCATTTAACAAAACTTTATAAAGTTTACCAGCTTTTGTTAAATCTGATTTAATTATAATTATCTGGTTTGATGATTATTACCTCTGCACACTGTACAATATCTGAACAATCCTTTTCAGTTGAAAATTTTGTTTATGTTTTAGTAGTTTGATAAAAAGTGTTTTATTTTAAGTATTGCGTATGTACCAGTACTTACATATGTACATTGTACGAAGGTATACACGATGTACACTGTGGCACACAGTTCCGTGGATTTTTTGTGTCTCCTGTTTGCAGAGATACCTAGCTCCGCTGCAGCCAGAGGCCAGCACAGCAGCTGCTGCTGCCTCCGGCCTCAGTACTCTCCCGGAGGCTGTTGGACCAGATATGTAGCATCAGTCTCCCTACAGGCCTCGAAACCGAGGGTAGAGATTATAGTGACACTTCAGTTCTTCTGTTTGAAAGTCATATGATCAATTATCTAGTTAATGTCGTGTACATGATCAAACCTTGATTCTGTACACTGTACAGTGTACACTGAACATATAGTGGTGTTCAGCTGGATATTTCAAGGATATATGTACAGTGTACACATTCTTCATTCTTGCCCACCTGCATATCAGATTCTATGGCTAGGGTAGATAGCAATTAACAAATATTTAAACAAAATATAACATTTTTAAAACTTGACTTTTGTACGTCTGTCTATGACTTAACTTTATAAGAGTATGAACATACTTTTAGTATATTTTTATGATCTTGAATGCATTATGATCTTAATGAAAAACAGTTTACACATTTTTTATACTTTTTTAATCGACTTCGGGATCAAAACGTAAATTTTGTAGCATTTCAAGATTTTCGGAAATTAATAAACGTGAAATATAAAACATTTTTTAACTGATTTTACATTTGTTCTTTTTGTTCCGAAAAACAGAATTTGTTCCATGAGGAACTCAAACATTTTTGTATTTCAAGTGTCTCAGGAAACATATACATATACATATACATATACATATACATATACATATACATATACATATACATATACATATACATATACATAGACATATACATATACATATACATATACATATACATATACATATACATATACATATACATAAACATATACATATACATATACATTTACATATACATATACATATACATATACATAAACATATACATATACATATACATATACATATACATATACATATACATATACATATACATATACATATACATATACATATACATATACATATACATATACATACACATATACATATACATATATATATACATATACATATACATATACACGATACCCATGCATTTCTTTCTGAAATGTGTATATTGCGTATATTGTGTATATTTCTTTCTGAAATACCCTACTAAATACTTGTAAACATATCAGCCTAGTTTGTTTATATGTTTGTTTATATGTTTGTTTATATGCATAATCAATAATCACCGAAACGAACAAACTAATTGGGCAAAAATTATTTGTTTAGCAGTGCAGGGGGTGATATGGTCCTAAAATGTTTGTGATTTGATTTTTTAGAAATTGCGAAACACCCTGCATAAATTATAAATGCATGAAATACTGTTCCTAGAAGTAAAATGTTTTAACAATTCTTGTGTTCATAAGGTACGCGGATATAATTTTATCAAAATTAAAATTTTATTAATATTAATATTAATATTTGATTAAAATTGGTATTTTATTCTTTTAAAAACTTAACTACTACAGTACCAGCACTTGCCGAATAAATCAGTTTTTATATTCTAGAATGCAATTTAAAGAACTGCTAAAAACGCAATTTAAGCTAAATCCTCAGTTAGAAAATTAGAAAATTAACTTAGGTATCAGGGCTTAGAAAAACTTTAAAATGTACTATGTATGCACGTATCTATTTAAAAGTGGTGTTTATCTATATGTATTGTATGATTGTATCTATGTAATAAACGTCTGTATGTATTGTATGTATTGTATGTCTGTATGTAGAGCTGAGAAACCTGGGATTTGCCCCTAGGTTAGTTTGAATTAACATATCACTTAGTAGTGAAGAAACCCTCAAACCCTTAATACACCACAATACATCCTTTCTACATTTTTTGTCAAAATACTTATATTTGTTTTACGCAATGTCAAAACATTAAAAACTCAAAATATGATAAATATTTGATGATATGAGAAATTGAGAGACAATAAACCCTTCGTTTTAAAATCTATGAATTATGAATATCTATTCATTAAAAATGTGAATATCCATTAAAACCCATTTTGTTTAAAATCAATGACTTATGGATATCTTTTCATTAAAAAAGTGAATATACATTGAAACCTTTTTGCTTAAAAATTAGTGAATTATAGATATATATTTATTAAAAACATGAATATCCATTGGAACCCCTTTAGTTTTAAAATTAATGACTTATGGATCTCTATTCATTAAAAAAGTGAATATCCATTGAAACCCTTTTGCTTAAAAATTAGTGAATTATATATGTATATTTATTAATAACATGAATATCCATTGGAACCCCTTTTTGTTTTAAAATTAATGACTTTTGGATATCTATTCATGAAAAAGTGAATATTCATTGAATCCCTTTGAAGTAAAATCATTGAATTATGGATATATATTCATTTAAAAAGTATGAATATTTATTGGAAATATTTGTTTTAAAATAAAATTATGGATATCTATTCATTAAAAAAAGTAAATATCCATAGTAATGGGCCAATCCGAACAAATCATAATTTTAAGATAAATAAGACTTTGAACGTAGCAAATAAATTATTTAATTAATACACATTAGATTAGTCATTTTCAAAATTTACTATTGATGAAAATTCACATTCTACCCTGGTCTCCTATCCTTTCTCCAGTTTCAACTCTAATTCTAATTTTATTGTTGTGAGGATTGTGAGCCTAGCTTCCAGGAAATATTAGAAGTTGGACCGTTTGGGAATTTCTAGTTTTCTACTCCGGGGAGGGGGGGGGGCTACAATATACACCTTAACCCTTTCTAGTTTTCTACTCCCGGGAGGGGGTAGGGGTATATACCATTAACCCATTGAAACAATATATAATAAAGTTCTCCTTCCCTCCACTTGATTTCTGCACGGACGATTAGCATCTTCTCGACAAATATTCACAACTTCAATTTAAAACTAAATAATGATTTTTTCCTCAGATTGTATAATGGAGACTAAGATGTAAATTAATGATGTTGGCTCCGTTCCAGAACGGCTAAGACACCTCCGTTCAAGAACGATTATTTCTTTGATTGAGAACCGAAGAAGTAGGAATTAGAACTAGCTGAAGAACAATGCTTCCTCATACAAGGTAAATACCAAAAATATCAATTGCATGGACTAGTTAAAGTTTCATGAAATACAGGGTGTCTCACGTTGGTAAATAGTTTAGAATTCTTATTCCATAATTTATTAAGTTGTTTGACACCCAAGAGAATAATGAAAAATACTATATGACAGTCATAGCATAGTAAAATTGATTTTAGAGTAAAATACTTTTGAGTTACAGACTTTTTTTTTACAAAATAAACTGCAAAAAGTGCTTAATATCTGTATAGCAAATGGAAGAAAACATTCAAAACTATTCACCAGCTGTTATGAAACGTGGGAGACCCTGTACTTTGTTGAGTGGTAATTTAATTTGTTAAAAGACTTTAGAACAAATACGACAAAAGAGGAAATAAAGAATTAATGGGTGAATGAATGTATAGAATGAAGGAGTAAGGAGGAAGGATGAAGGGAGGGTTGGGACTAGAAACTTCTGCTATCTCTGGTATACCAATAACGCCAGACGAAGAATGTTTGCGGGTAAGCTTTTTTATAAACTTAATTCTTTAATTTCCTAATGTTGATTTTTCCTAGACAAAACTAATTCTGACTTTTCCCCACGTGAAAAAAATACTGACCTCTGGCAACAAACTCCAATTTTCAAATCCCTGAAACTGATTGATAGATAAACCTTCTAAAACTTTGACTTTTTGATCATGCCAAATACATAGTTTTAAAAAACCTAAGGTTTAGAAGATATAAGACAACAAGTTAGAGTTTGTGGGATGTGTTCAGTTTCGTTGAATTTTTTTCGTGTTCTCGAGTTTGCAAAATTTCTAAAAAAATATTAAATAAAAAGTTAATACAAAACTCCTGAGACCTGTGAGAAATATTTAAATTTGTTGACAAATATTCATTTTCATATTTGAGTCAGCCTTTTATAAGTTAGTTAAAAAAGATACAAATAAGGGATAGAATGGATATCTGTATAGTCTTAATTTCATTCGACTTAAGATTGGCATGTCCGAAACACAACGGTGCCCTTATAACTTTTTTTCTGATCATGGATGAAGAAGATATCCTTATTTTTTTAGTAAAGAATTGATTATTATGGTTTCGGTTTCCTCTGTAAAAGTGACTTTGAGATTTATGCAGCAGAGGCAATACAAGGGGCACCGTTGTAAAACAGATATGCGACATCTCTAGTACATGTCAGGCCACTTGACTTCAGTTCCCTTAAAGACATATAAAAATGTGGAAAATATAAATTTGGAATTTGTAGATATTGCTGAAATATTTAGGATGAAAAGATTAAAATATTCGATGAAAAATATCGGATGAAAAAAGATCAATGCCGGCCGAGTAAAATATAAAAAAGAGAAATTCCAACAATTTAAAAGTTGTTCAAGGGGGGGGGTGCTCGCGAGTTAGCAAAACCGCGTTTAACAGTAATGAACTACTTCCTTTTGTTAAGATTGGAGGTTGAGATTGAAAATAGATAAAGAAATTCATATTATATACCTTACGTTGAAATTTTAGGTTGAAATTTATCAAAAATTAAATTAAATTATTGAAAATACAATCATCCTTTTTAGTTTTCCAAATGTATAATTTTCTCTAAAAAAACTTTATCATAAAAATCCGCAAAAATCATTAGATTTGGTTTGGTTTTCAGCAAATACAATATCGTGCTTTATTTCAGGAAAGAAAATGGTGGTGCTTCCTACTATCATCAATATTTACCTTTCTCATGGGTATACTCTCTGTACTGCTGCAGAGGGGGATTGCACATTTATTTTGTAGAAAGGTAAATTTATATTTTATATTGTATATTAAGAAATCTAAAGTGATGATTGCATGCAAAATATAAAGTTTCAGTTTAAACCAATCTAATTAATGTCAAAGTTTTTACTAAAAAAATTATTTTGAGAATTAGTTTTTGCATAATAAATCTATATAATCTATATAATAAAGCTTTTCGTTCATAGAGTTTTTTTCCAACTGATGATTGGGTTAGACCCATGAAACATTTTGTCTTGGAAGAAATATATAGTTAAACATCTAAAATGTATATTTAAACTGAAAAAAGTTTAAAATACTATATATATATATATATATATATATAGATTTAGAAGAACTACTTCTCCCTACCTTTAACTGGTGTCCAAATAAGTCTAAGTAGTTCAACTACTTCTGGACGTTCATTAGATCTGAACCTGACCATCTTTTTAATTATTTTGACATTATTTTATTGGTTTCTCTCTGAATTTGTTTTTTTTACACCTTTGCATTCGTTTCTTCAACAGTTAAGCATAAGAAAATCACATGTAGTTACTAGCATGAGTCATATACACTGTATTTCCACCAGCCAAAATCGGACTTCCTCATAATTGGCTCTGATTTGAAAAGGCAGTTTATTTTTGATTTATATCTCTATAAGAAAGCTTAGCGTATGCTAACATTTAGTACACAATATACTGCATGAAGTATGATGGTTAACATTATTATAAAAGGAAGGAACGGTTCTAAGGTAGTAGGGTCATGTGTGCAGTACGTTCCTGACTATAGACTTAAAAAGGAACTGGTAGTAAAAGCAAAGATTGAGTGGAATAACAAAGCATGGTTGTATACAAAACTATGTTTACATTTAAATGATACAAACGGTTAGTGTTCGACCAACTAAAATTGATCTAAATAATAGGACATTCGCCTGCAGCGAATCAGATATAAAATGTCTTTTTAAATCTGAGATACTGATGAGGAAGTCAGGTTTCGGTTGGTGGAAATACAGTGTATTTTCATAAACACTTCAAAGACGTTGTTTATACTTTTAGATTAAAAAATATATCAATGAAAAAGAGCTATTTTCTAGTGTCTTTAATAAAGGGATTCTAGGCGGGCAGGGGGGATTTATATCTTATTATTAAGTATTTATTCATGAAAAAAGATTTTACGCTTTGCTAATCATCAAAATATTTTTAGTATTCTGGTTTACAGGTATACTATGCTAGATTTTATCGTTAATTTTTCATTTTGTTAAATGCGAGTTCAAAGTTATTTTTTAACGTGAAGTCTAAAAGTGTAAAAAAAATTACATATCACTTTTAGCAAGGCACAGAATTCTAAGTAGTATATTTAGAATAAATTCAGAGGTCTTAGTAATAATTCTTTACATTTTAAGGAAAAAGAAGTTTATAATAATTTTTTAATCATAATTTTTCAGTTAAAGTTTTATAAATTCTTTATTTTTTTATTTTCTAAAGAAACAAGCCCTTCATGGGCATTATTAAATTATAATTTTTGAGAGAGAATTCATTTCGGAAAATAGTTAATGAATGTTTACATTTTTCATCTTCATTGAATTTTATTTTTAATTTTTTCCATATCCATTATATTAAATTTACTCTGTATCTACCCTTTATCCATTATATCTACATATATTTACTCTTTATCTACTCCACATTGTATATCTAATATTTACTCTGTATCTACTATATATCCACTATATTTACATATATTTACTCTGTATCTACTATATATCTACTATATTTACATATATTTACTATGTATCTACTCTACATCCTCTATATCTACATATATTTACTCTGTATCTACTATATATTCACCATATTTACATATATTTACTTTGTATCTACTATATATCCACTATATTTGCATATATTTAATCTGTATCTACTCTATATCCACTATATTTACATATTTTTATTCTGTATATACTCTATATCCACTATATTTACATATATTTACTCCGCATCTACTCTATATCCACTATATTTACATATATTTATTCTGAATCTACTCTATATCCACTATATTTACATATATTTACTCTGTATCTACTCTATATCCACCATATTTACATATATTTACTCTGTATCTACTCTATATCCACTATATTTACATATATTTACTCTGTACCCACTCTATATCCACCATATTTACATATATTTACTCTGTAGCTACTATATATCCACTATATTTACATATATTTACTCTGTATCTGCTATAAATCCACTATATTTACATATATTTACTCTGTATCTACTCTATATTCACTTTATTTACATATATTTACTCTGCATCTACTCTATATCCACTATATTTACATATATTTACTCCGCATCTACTCTATATCCACTATATTTACATATATTTACTCTGTACCTACTATACACCACACCATCATTCATATATCATGTATCATATCAATTTTATTTACAATGTGTCCTACATCATATTTGACAGTGGATAAATCTTAATTTAAATTTTAAAAGAAAAATATTTTTATTTTAACTAGCTAAATTTTAAATAATTTTCTGCCTAAAACATAAAACCTGCCAAATATATTATGTTGTGCCATGAAAAGCTACGCTAATCCACGTTTTTAGCACACCATATAAATATATAAGCTATGTATATTGTCTACCTTTAACTAACTGTATACACTTTAACTACTTTATCTATTAAAGCTACTAAATCTACTAAATCTACTATATCTACTAAATCTACTCTATATACTAAAGGTTGAAGATGAGTATAGTCAAGCAGAGATTAGAAGACAGCAGGAAGAGGCGAAGAAATTACGACTTCAGGTAAGAAAAATTTACCCTAGGGTTCACACAGACAACCTTTTCCCCTCTTCAGGGACCTTGTACTACTGTACAGTACCCTGGGGTTCACACAGACAACCTGTTGTCCTCTTCAGGGACCCTGTAAACTGTACAGTACCCTGGGGTTCACACAGACAACCTGTTGTCCTCTTCAGGGACTCTGTAAACTGTACAGTACCCTGGGGGGTCACACAGACAACCTGTTGTCCTCTTCAGGGACTCTGTAAACTGTACAGTACCCTGGGGTTCACACAGACAACCTTTTGTCCTCTTCAGGGACCCTGCAAACCCTGCAGTACCCCCTGGGCGCACCAGACAACCTTTTGTCCTCTTCTTGGGCCCTGTAAACTGTACAGTACCCTGGGCCCACACAGACAACCCAAATTTGTCCTCTTCTGGGGCCCTGTAAACTGTAGAGTACCCTGGGCCCACACAGAGGACATCCAGTCCCCTTCAGGGATCCTGTACTACTGTACAGTACTCTTGCCCGCACAGAGGACCTCCAGTCCCCTTGAGGAACCCTGTTCCATTGTACAGTACCCTGGGCTCCGTCCTCCAGTCCCCTTCAGGGTACAATTTACAGTACCCTTGGACCCACAAAGAAAACCTTCAGTCCCCTACAAGGACCCTGTACACTGTACAGTACTCTGGGCCCACACAGAGGACCTCTAGTCCCCATTAGGAACCCTGTACTTCTGTACAGTACCCTGGGGCCCGGCAAGCAAAACATAATCTTTTACTTCCAAAGAAATAAAACTTTTTAAGTAGCTCTTCACAACTTTAACTTGCCATGATACTTTTTGCAGGGAACTGTTGTCAATCGAATGTGGCACATTTCAAATAAATGGTCTCTAGAAATTACTTTGCAGACATTTTAAATTTATTTTTAGCCGATGAAGCTTAAACAATCTGTCTTTGTGACAGATATCCTTAAGAGTAAAGTTTCTTCAAGGTCCTTGTTAAAGAATTAGAACTCTTTTTGCTTATTTCTTCCACAATCAGTTACAGTTTGGTTCTTTTTATATAAGAAATGTTCTTTATTATACTCAGAGAGAGGGAAAGCCACTGCAATAAAAAGTTGGAGCCGGATAATCGAGGAATTATAATATATTTATATTTTCTCATTCATAAACTTATCCTACATAAAACATAGTATTCATATGCGACATATTTTTCTTAAAAAGAAAATGCAAACACTTCCTTCAGCTTGTTTGACCTAAAAATGATACCCCAGCTCAAAATTCCGGGATAATACAGCGCGGCGCTTCGTTCATATATANTAATTATGACATGTAAAAGTTTATGTTTTGAAAAAAAGTAAGAGTACAATTGTAATCTATAATAAAGCTCTTCGTTCATATATATGTTTGCTATTGCTGGCCAAACGGCTGGATCCAATTTTTAAAGAAACCAGTGGGTACCCCAACGCGAAATATTTTCTTCAATTTTTTTTTAATTACCCGGGCGACGCCGGGCACTTCAGCTAGTTTATTTTATATTTATTATCCATCCTTCAATTTTTTAAAATTTTTTGGGTCGAATTTTTGATGGTTTCAAAAAGTATTTTTAAATTCTACATGATTGTTTGCTAGTGTACTCTATAAAGTTAAAGGGGGGGGGGATTTCAAAAATAAAGTCACTTCATGTAATTTTAACGACAGGGTTTCATTTTAGGAATAAAACAAGCTCCACAGAAGTGCTTACATAATGCAAGTACAATGTATGTAGAAAATGCTAAAATCAAATGATATATTATTTGTGCACCTGTTTTAAAATATATTTCCTTAACTTAATTATTTCTCTAGGGACAGAACCCGGACGGGCAAACTGATGGAGATTTTATGTCTGAAGCTAAGGACTGGGCTGGAGAACTTATTTCCGGACAAACTGGTACCGGCAGAATACTGGTAAATACATGTTCATTGCTCAACTCAAATACGCACAAATCTATCAAGGTTTTGCTAAAGAAAATACGCAAAAATTCATTGTTAAATCTTTTAAACTGAAACTAGAAAAGACCTTTTGAGCTTTGATGTTTTTATCCAAAGCTATCAAAACGTGTGATTAAGCCCAAAAAAAACACGGCCTGGCAACATTTGAAAGTCTGCCCAGTTTCAATTAAAAGCTAACGCATACTATTTTTAACTGTGAAACCTTTTATCTTAGACAAAAAGGCCATGCATTTTATGTTATCTATCTTAATACTTTGCATTTCTGTCTGTCTGTTTGTCTGTTTGTATCTTATAAACGTCAAAACGGAACCGATCGGGCCCTCGGGGAAGGTTATTTTAAGAGAAATATAAATACCCTTTTTTATATTCAGTACAAGATCATAAGAATCCTTTAAAACAAGCTCGTTGTATCTATACCTGTATACATATACATATATATATACATATACATATACATATACATATACCTATATGTATATGCCTAGGTCTATGAAAAGTGTAAGTAAGTTGGTAGATATATAGGTAAAGGACTGGCGACACTTTGATGAATAACTTTCAGAGTTGTCTATATTTCATTTACAAGATTCAATAAATCTTTTGAATGGTTTGACCTGTATTAAAACTTTATTAGATTCCAATATTCAATATGTAGTGCATTGCATGTCAGTATGCACTTTGCTTCAATTCAAAGAATATAATGTTCTCTGACCTTTAATCTCAACAGCTGTTCATCTCCACTGAAAGCACGCTTATGAAAATATATGATTTTCTTGTAAAAAAGGGTAAATTTTACAACCTTGTGGGCTGTGTTACATAACGGTGTCTCAATTAATGAGGAAATTAAGTTACGACATTTTGGACTTTTCAAAATGTGGTCTACTGTCTTCACATATTAAACAATTTTGATTATGCTTAATTTTAGTAATTGGTCTAAATTCTAGGTTTATTGGAAAGTGAGCAAACACTAAAAATCTAGGTTTATTTCAAGTACCGGGCCGACTTAAATTCTAGGTTTATTGGAAAGTGAGCAAATACTAAAAATCTAGGTTTATTTCAAGTACCGGGCCGACTTAAATTCTAGGTTTATTGGAAAGTGAGCAAATACTAAAAATCTAGGTTTATTTCAAGTACCGGGCCGACTTAAATTCTAGGTTTATTGGAAAGTGAGCAAATACTAAAAATCTAGGTTTATTTCAAGTACCGGGCCGACTTAAATTCTAGGTTTATTGGAAAGTGAGCAAATACTAAAAATCTAGGTTTATTTCAAGTACCGGGCCGACTTAAATTTACTTTTTAAGGTTTGTTTGGTTTTCATTCTCTCCATTTCTTCTCTAGTGATCTACTTCATTGATGCCTCCAGGTAAACAAAACATAAATTATTTAAATTATTTGTTTATTATTTGTTTTGTATTTAGTGAGGGTGTTGAACAATGTATACCTTGGGCTAAGAATACTACACAGCAAATAGATCTAGCCTTTAATATATTCTTCATGGTCTACTTTTTCATTAGGGTAAGTTTTTATTAGGGTAAGTTTTAATAGGGTAAGTTTTTATTTAAAATAAAAGGTACCAGCAACGTAATTTCAGCTGGTCCTCCAATAAGGCAAAGATTACAAGGATTAAAGCATTTTCCTTCTTTTGAGTATTCGCCAAGAAAATTCTAATTAACAGTTCGCTATAAAGCGGTTCATAGCCAAAATTTTGAATAATGTAATATAAACCAAAGAACATTTTTAACATTTTTACGGAGCCACCTGAAGGTTTTAATGATTTATATTCTATATATTTGTATTTATCAATAATTAATATCTAATGAAAAATAATTATTTAGAAATACAAATGAAAACCTCGACCTGACTTTCTTTTTTAAAAGATCGCTAAAATCTATTCCAAAACTCAAGTTTTCGACATTTTTTATAAAAATGCAGGGATCAGTGTTTACATCATGAAATCTAGCAAAATGTAAAAATAAAAATATATTTGTTTAGTTTATTGCTGCGTCAGATAAACTATGGTTTATGCTTGAGTTATACAGTTTTGTTGACTACTTCACCATCCCACCGTCCTTCGTATCCATCTACCTGGACCGTACATGGATTGGTAAACTTTACATTAATTATCTACCTGGACCGTACATGGATTGGTAAACTTTTCATTAATCATCCACCTTGTAGTGAAGGAACTCTCAACATGGATTGGTAAACTTTTCATTAATCATCCACCTTGTAGTGAAGGAACTCTCATTATCTATATATAAATTTGGCTTGTCTGTTTGTTTGTCTGTTTGTATCCAATAAACGTCAAAACGGCTGAACCGATCGGGCCCAAATTTTTTGTGGGACATCTAGGGACTCCAGGGAAGGTTTATGAATCATCAAAATTTCAAATATTTGTCTCCATCAAAATTCGATCGTCATTAAATTTTTAAAAATTTTGAAAATCCGCGAAATTTTTTGTGAAAATCCGCTGAATTATTTTTGTTTTGTTTTACGATGTACACAAAGAGAACATGTTCACAATTAATTTAGGAGATGGGCGCGAAGCGCCCTCTAAGGCTAGAAAGAAGGGCGCGACGCGCCTTGAATTTCTAGTATATATAAATTTGGTTTGTCTGTCTGTCTGTTTGTTTGTTTGTTTGTATCCAATAAACGTCCAAACGGCTGAACCGATCGGGCCCAAATTTTTTGTGGGACATCTAGGGACCCCAGGGAAGGTTTATGGATGATTGAAATTTTAAATATTTGTCTCCATCAAAATTCCATCGTCATTAAATTTTTGAAAATTTTGAAAATCCGCGAAATTTTTTGTGAAAATCCGCGAATTATTTTTGTTTTGTTTCACGATGTACACAAAGAGAACATGTTCACAATTAATTTAGAAGATGGGCGCGAAGCGCCCTCTAAGGCTAGTATATTCTAATCCTTTAAAAATTTAATGTCTTGATATTTAATACTCAACATTTTACAAGATTAACTTGTCAAAGTTTGAAATACTAAAGGCATAGAATCAGGTTGAAATTACTAAGAAAATATATTATGAGGCGGGTAATCAGTTTCTTTGTTACAGAACTTAAAACATAATTCCGGAAAGGAAATGAGTTTTTGCCACAAACTCTGATTTTCGAACACTATTTCGCAGACCTTTGATATTTCAAACTATGGATTATGTTATGTTAGATCAAATACTCAAAGTTTGAAATATCAAAGGTTTACACCATCATATTCAACAGATATAAGAGTTAAAAAATTTGAGTTTGTGGCAAAAACTCATTTCCTTTGTTGAAGATAAACATCTCATTTTTAAAAGAAAGTCATCAAGAAAAATGAAAAGGAGTGTTGGATGAATTTAAAGCATTAGTTTGAATAGATCGGTATTATATTTATTTCTATTTGATATTTCTGAAAAGAGAAACAAATATGTAACTGGGTAATAACTAGTTTTATTAATCAATTTGAAATGGGATTATGATCCAACCATTTATTTTTGATATTTTTTCTTTAAATTGTTTAAAAAACAATTTTTGTTCATGAGTTTTTAAGATATATTATCAATCAAGATAATTTTCAGTTTTCTATTAAGTTTATCATATCAATAAACTAGTAATGAAAAGAGTTAGATGTAGAATTTTGTTCAGTAGTAAATATTTTCTTAAAGTAAATGAATTGATTCTTTGCCAAAAACTCTGATTTTCTAATTCCTATATCTTTGCGACCAACTGGCGTAGACCTTAGAAATGGACTAAACCAATTCCGTACAATCGTCTCTGAAGTCTCATCCTTTGTGGGTAACCCTGTATCAAAGGATTTTAAAATGAGGTTGCAAAGATATAGGGATTATAAAAATATTCAAATATTCAGGTCTACGGTTTCTTAGAGCTTTACGACTGATGACAGTGCCTGATATTCTTCAATATTTAAATATTCTCAAAACTTCAACTTCCATCAGGTATATATAAGGTTTTTATACAAAACAATTAGAACCGTTTTTGTGGATAAATAAGTTTTTCAGTATATTCAAAAGTTACCAGCTCTGATTTTGAAATTAAGAAAGAATAATATCAATTTGAACATGGTTCACAAATCTTTAAAACCTTGTTCTGTTCTTCCTGTTATTTAGTAAAGAACATTCTAGGGTTGGTATATAAGCAATGATATTTTTTACGGAATCTAGATTAAAGAACAACTAGAGGCCGTCACCCCTCCCCCTGCAAGGAAAAGGGGCAGCGCCTCCATTTTGTAGAGATTGTATAAACAAAACCCGATTTATGAATAATTTCGCTCAAAATTCAGAATTTCCGCGAATTTTTTTTTGCGTAAAATAGTGCAAAAAAGTAGATTTAAAAAGACTTTAAATATTGTAATTAATATGCATCTCAACTCATCCCTTTATTTTTAGATTGGCTCAATTCATACCTTTATTTCTAGATTGGCTCAATTCATCCCTATATTTTAGATTGGCTCAACTCATCTCTATATATCTAGACTGGCTCAACTAAACTCTATATTTCTAGATTTTCTCATCTCATCCCTATAATTCTAGATTGGCTCAATTCGTCTCTATATTTCTTGATTGGCTCAACTTATCTTTATATTTCTAGATTGCCTCAACTTATCTCTATATTTCTAGATTGGCTCAACTCATCTCTATATTTCTAGATTGACTTAATTCATCTCTGTATTGCTAAATTGGCTCAACTCCTCTCTAAATTTCTAGATTGGCTCAATTCATCCCTATATTTTAGATTGGCTCAACTCATCTCTATATATCTAAACTGGCTCAACTAAACTCTATATTTCTAGATTTTCTCAACTCATCCCTATAACTCTAGATTGGCTCAATTCGTCTCTATATTTCTAGATTGGCTCAACTCATCTCAATATTTCTAGATTTGCTCAAGTCATATCTATATATATCTAGATGGGCTCAACTCATCTCTATATTTCTAGATTGGCTCGACTCATCTCTATATTTCTAGATTGACTCAATTCATCTCTATATTGCTAAATTGGCTCAACTCATCTCTATATTTCTTGATTGGCTCAACTCACCTCTATATTTCTAGATTGGCTCAATTCATCTCTATATTTCTAGATTGGCTCAACTTATCTCTATATTTCTAGATTGGCCCAACTAATCTCTATATTTATATCTGTCTGGCTAACTGCAGCAGGCATAATACATCTGGTAAGTAGTGCAAAAAAATAATATTTTAATATTCATAATTTAGAAAAAAAAATTATTTAAGAAAGTTTTTATAAATTCTAAAGATGAATCCTTTTAAACAAGAGCGTGATTGATACTGTTATAATGTCAATCTTGCATAATTCAGAAACTGTCTTTTAAACAACTTTTATACCTTTGCTTTAAATTATAAAAATCTAAATTTTAAACCTTGATTTATCACCAAAAAACTTTTTTCTAAAGTATTCATTTGATTTATATTTTTGTTTAAGGTGAATAAGTAAAATAGTCTGGGAACATATTAAAAACTAACCAATCCTTTGATATCCAGACCCAAACCTACCCACCCTGCACCAGAACCATAGACATCTTGAGTGCTTTCAGCATTTTTTTAAAAAACCTTTTATGCATGTTATTTAATATTTTTATAAAACAAAATGTCACCATAGATATGATCCCAACAGGTCCAAGATCAGAACTTTTGGTTGAGCAAGCACTTAGGCATTTATATTTACAACGAAAACTTTTGAATTGGAGGAATTAATTGTCTTAATCTTAAACATGGATTAAAAAAAAATTACAAAATATGCAAATTATCAATTAAATATGGGGGGGGGGGAGAAAAAATGACTTAGTGCTTTAGAAACGAATAAAGTATACAAAAGTTCTATCTATCTATCTAACTATCTAAATTATATTTAATGGCACTGTCTCCTTCTTTAAAAAAATATCTTTCTTGTCTTGTTGGGATTGCCTTTACTCACTTTTAACAATAAGACTTTTTGTTTGGTAAAATTTCTTTAAATTCTTTTTTTAAAATCTTTATAGAAGTTTTGGTTTTGTAAAAAATAATTTAACTTTTGGAAACAAAAATAATTATTTTTAATTTTTTGAAAATATGATAAAGTTGGATAAAGTTCATGTTCTATATTCTAAATTGTTGACACATTTTAACTTTTTTTAATTAAAGGAAAGATGATAAGAATATGCAAATTTGAAAACAGTAAATTTCACTGGATGTTTTAATATCAGAAGGTTTCAAAAGGGCAGTTTTAAAGTTTCAAATTTAACCCTGTAAAGTAGTTATTTTGTAATTAATGTGCAACCTTACAGAACTAAAATTAAAAAATTATTTGAAAAACTCTTTAATTTCTTTAAAAAAACAAAGACAACGGGAATTATCCTGGCTTTTAGTTCTGTATCCCGAACCTCTTGTAGTTAGAGAATAGTGGAGATCCTCCTGATTTCTTGAACGCCTATCAAGTAGATGGAGTCCGAGGGCTGTCCTACTGGGACTGTGTATATTTCATGATGGTCACTATGTCCACAGTAGGTAAGACTATCAGAGAAGGAATCAGGACTTTCCTAGGATTACAAAAAAAATTTCAGAAATAAAAAATCACCTGTTTTAGAAAGATAAAAATTATCATAATATGAAGGCCTGATATAATTGACATTACATAAATTTCCAAATACGGCAATCCTAGTCTCAATTGTTCTGCTGGTTAAGGGTATGGTGATATTGCGTGTCAGACGGTTCTTGGAAAACTGGTTTTAGCCTGTTTCCTGTCTGTGGGGTTGGTAAGTTAACCTGCGGCAGCGGAAATAAACAGGCACCAACCACCTTAAATCATGCTTGGACAAAACTTTGTGTTTGTTGGTATTCAAGGTTTTTTGCATGTTTTTGTTTTGTTTTTGTTTTGTTTATTTTATGTTGTTTTTTATTTTGTTTTAGGCTACGGGGATATATATTGCAAGACAATCCTTGGAAAAGTAGCTGTTATTCTAATTATTTTTGGTGGTTTGGTATGTACTTTCTTTTTGTTTTCACTAATTTCTTTAAGACAAGCACCATTCCTATGTTCCTAGGCTTTTAGTTTTTTTTATAGTCATACATGTTTTTTTCTGTTCTTTTAGTTGGAAAATTCTGGAGATTTACCAACTTTTAGTGAACCAGTTTTTATTACATACTGGAATGCTGTTTACTTTCTAATGGTGACAATGTCAACAGGTAAACCATTCCAGATTAACATTTTTGTTCACAACAGTTTAATTTTATTTCATTTAGTTGATTTTGATTGATGAATTTATAGTTTATTGATCTGACTATACTATTAGTTGGTTACGGGGATATAACTTGTGGAACGAGTCTGGGTCGTGTTTTTCAACTCATATTTCTCCCAGTGGCCCTGGTGAGTTGATCAGACTCAAGCTCATCCTTTACACAAGATACAATATGTTACAGGCCTCTATTTTCTGTTCTTATGTGTTTGAAAACATGTTTTTCTAAGAGTTTAAACTCCAATATTGATAGGTAAGCTGCATGGTTAAGTTTTTATAGGTTTAGTTAAGCACGTTCATTGTTCATGCCAAGAAAAAGTTCTAGACTCTATGAATGTAAAATTTTTACCAAATCTTCCCAGGCTATTCCTTTAAGTAACTAATATAGAAAAAGCAAAAAACATTTCAGTTGGAAAACTCTGGGGACCCTCCATACTTTGAGAATGCCCAGAAGCTCTCATACTGGAACTGTGTATACTTTCTGATGGTGACAATGTCAACCGTTGGATACGGTGATATTGCCTGCCAAACAGCACTGGGGCGGGGCTTTCAAGTCCTCTTCCTTCTTGTTGGATTGGTGAGTCAGTAACTTCTAGACATTCACATTCAGTATTGCTGGGGATTAAGTCAAGATTATGATTAGGTTAGGATTTAATATACTATTCTAGGTAAACAAACTTCAGAGTGACCTTTTATCAAAACAGAAAATAGAGACCACTACCATGGAACAATTAATTCACCTTACTTAATCAATTTAGGCTCTGTTTGCTTCAGTGCTGCCAGAAATATTAGAATTAATAGGATCTCAGAGCAAGTGGTCAGGAACATATCATGGGGATAAGGGGAAGAGGTTAGGTTGGGTTCACCTTTTCCCCAGCTTTTTAATCAGAGCTCCCTAAATCCTACTGACTATCTTTTTACAGAAAAAAATGTGTAATAAATAACATATTTGAGATTGGATAAAGTTTTTTTTTCTGCCATGAGCAGCCAAAATTTTGTCTTGGAAAACTTTGCCCAAGCTCAATCTTCAATAGTTCAGTTTTTCTAATTAAAAATGAATAATTCTCTAGATAATATCAGGAGGTTTCTGCTCTACCTATTCCCAGCTCTAACAACTAACAGTGATACCCATACTAACATTTTTAAAAATTCCAGGCATTATTTGCGGGCAGTATTCCTGAAATTATAGATATTGTGAAAACTTTTCCAAAGTATAATGGTGTCTATATATCAGACAGGGGAAGAAGGCATGTACTCAATGATTTATCAATTGATCAGTTTTGTGATTTTACCCTTTCTTTATCCCATTGTAGCCTCACAGATGCAGATACATTATATAGGACACAACATAACCATTTACTGGTTTGCATGTATAACAGATCCTTCAGGTTTTACAACTCAATAGAAACAAATATTTGTTTAGACTGTTTAGAATTTATCAAGTTATATCATTGAACCACCAGGCATTAGATACCGTTGGTGTGTTGTGAATACAGATTTACTAAGGCATGCTTTCTCATAGATTTAAAGTCTTTCAAGTTTTTCAATTTAAGATTTCAATTTAAGACATTCCAAATTGAAGTCAGACAAAAGAACTTAATACTTGTCTCTAATTTTTAATCTCTATTTCTTTGCAACATAATAGTGTACACCATTGATATTTCAAACTTAGGTTATTAGGATATAGGAGTTTTTATAGTTTAAAATATCAAAGATTTATGACATCAGATTGCAAAGATAATGATAAGAAGGTTAGAGTTTGTGATTTGAAATAACTTATGAAGAATTTTTGGAAACTTTGTAATGTGACAAAGAGGATAAAGTAAGTTAATTAAGTAAGTAATTTATTTTATAAATAATAGTGTTAAAAATCAATCTATTGTACAGTGTGATGACAGGTTGTATGAAGAACTCTAAAAACTTTTACTGTGATTATTAATCCCTTTAAGGAGAAAAAAAACATGGAGTTATGTTCTTTTTTCCCCGTAAAAAATCATTTTATAAACTGTTTTTTTCTATGAATCAACAAAATATACAAATATATGGAAATTGCTGAGTTTTGTTAAAATTAAATTATAAAATGCTAATATAGATTTCAAAACCTACTGTTGTGAAATTCTGGGTTTTGGTAGATCAACAAACAGATTATATAGATACAAAAAGCTGGGTAGTTGCTGGTTTTTGTTGTATACTGTACAACCTTCTGCTCATTTTTTAAACACTGTAGAAATGGTATGGTGGAAGAAATGAAAACAATAAGTTAAGTTAAGATAAGATAAGTAATAAACTCTCTCATTCTATTTGTGTAAAAATATTGGATTTACAATACTTGTAATCTGCATGAGACCTAAAGGTAAAACGATGGTATGAAGGCAATTATGAATCTGTTATAAACATCTTTTCTATTTGAAATCTATAAGTAAAAGAACCAATAGGACTTAGAGAAGTAAGATATTTTTTTGATAAAGATAAGATTGAAGATTATAAATTAGATGATACAAAGATTAGAAGATTTGACAGACCAACTAGCTATCTGACAGACCAACTAGCTATTTGACAGACCAACTAGCTATCTGACAGACCAACTAGCTATTTGAAAGACCAACTAGCTATCTGACAGACCAACTAGCTATTTGACAGACCAAATAGCTATTTGACAGACCAACTAGCTATTTGACAGACCAACTAGCTATCTGACAGACCAACTAGCTATTTGACAGACCAACTAGCTATCTGCATCTGTGAATTAGCAGTTTACCCTTAATGTTCTAAACTTTAGTGTTGCCAAGGAGTTTTCTAATAAAAATGTTAAAGGACAACTATTAGAATATAACTATGCCTGAATCCTAAACCTTTTTTTATTTTTATATTCTTTTCATCCTAGGCTCTTTTTGCGTCCTGTATTCCTGAAATTATTGATCTAATTGGCACCCGTCCCAAGTATGGTGGAATTTTTAAGAGTGAAAGGGGGAGAAGGCAAGAACAACGATCACTGCACATACATGTTTTTATCTCTAAAAGTGATTTAAATATTTTCCTCACTTCTCATCTATTTGATTCCAGCACAATTTAATATTCTAAATATACTGGAGACCCCCCACTATAGTTTCAAACTATTGTAAATGTGTCAGATTTGTAAGATATTGTACACTGTACAGTTAGGCCTTAAGCTCTGAAATAAGTTGAACAAATCTGACGCACACTGTATACTGCAAGCTTAATAAACCCAAGGAGAGGTGCCTGTTTTTCAGAAATTAAATCCCACAACCCTGCTAACCAACCACACTTCTGAAATCCCTAATGTTTAGGCTATGTTTGCCTCCTGTATACCTGAAATAATTGATTTAATTGGGACTAGACCAAAGTATGGTGGCTCTTACAAAAATGAGCGCGGGAGAAGGTAAAGCGACATTTTATAGCGCCAATGGTTATGGGATCCTTCACTGTTTTCTGTATATAAATGTTTAATGTCAAACAAATTGTTTGAAGTAATTCAAATTTTTATTTTGAACAAAATTGAAAAAAACATTTTTTTATGTACATTCTTTTTTATTTAAGATTTGTTTTTCCAAGGTCTTAAAATCCTGAACCTACATTACAGAGAGAAAATAAAATGTTTTCTTTGTAACTACAAACTTTTATTTGTTTGCTTTATAATAAATCAATGTTTTCTACCACAGATTTAATGTTGAATGTTTCACAACCTCTAGTTGTATATTCTATGTTTACAAAAGAGAATGTACATAATGTGATGAATTGATTGAGAAACTGAATCTGAATCAAATGAGGATGGAATGGTGGCGTTTATTTTCTTGTCGCTTTTCGGGGCTTTTGGCTGCAATGAAGAAAAAAAAGCTAAGATTACTTTGGTTTCATGTCCAATTTCTAGTTTACTGCATGCTTCCTGCATTCTCTTTTCCTAAATTAATTATTTACCCTATAAGATGAAATACTTATAAATTGTTACAATTTAAAAATGAGTATTTTATCTTCAATGTTAGTTAAAATAAATAAAAATAATAAAAAATTAAAGCAATATTTTAAAAACATCATGTAACAATGCATGCTGAACCTTATGCATAAGCAAGCTCTTCATGTAGTTATAAAAGAAATATTTTGAATTTGTTTCATTAAACATTGGAAACCTAAAAATCAAACAAAGAGAGAAAATTACTTATTAATTAACAAAAAATTCAAAACATTTCTAGTTCAGAAAAAAAATTGTTTTACTAAAGTATTTTTTTCTGCAGGCATATAGTGGTATGTGGTCACATCACATATGAGTCAGTTTCTCATTTTTTGAAAGATTTTCTTCATGAAGACAGAGAAGATGTGGATGTAGAAGTCGTCTTTCTCCACAGGTAGGACAATTAGTTTCACTTAGTGTAGAAATACTTTTATATTAGAAAACTTTGAATTATTAATGATTTAATATGTTAACCTTCATCATAATTTTCAGATATATATTATAAACAATATTTTCAGGGGCCCTTCTTAGCTCACCTAACTGTCATCTTTATTACTGTAGATATATTTTTTTTATTAAAGCAGTAGTACTTCTAGGGTACTGGGGTGACAACCCATCATACTAGTACTTTAAATGTCTATCAATTGTCCTACAAACTGTCAACCTCATAAAATCTGTCCTCTAAATTGTCCTCCGAACTGCTAACCTCATATTATAGAGCGGAACCAGATTTAGAATTTGAGGGTTTGCTGAAAAGGCAACACACACGGGTCAAGTATTTCCAGGGGTCTCTCATGAACGCCATGGACCTTGAGCGTGCCAAGGTGAAGGGAGTTGACCCCCTGCAGCAGACGCATGTATAATGTATATACTAATACTTACAGTTTCAATCTATAGCATTTGTATCATTTATCAAACATTTACAATGTGCATTACTTAGCGTCTGTAATTTGTATTTTGATAGATATCTTAGCTTTTTTGATGCTGGCCTTTCTGTGACCATTTTTTGATCAGTCCATCTTTTGATCTTTATTGGATAGAAATAAACAGACAAAATTAAACTTTGATTTTTATTGAACTTGTGAAATTATTTATTAAAAACTGATTTTGTATTAATATTCTTACAAATAATAAATTAACTTGACTCAGAGACATTTAGTAGCGCTAGCAGAAAAAAGTAATTTTACTTGTTAGATTATGGTAACTTGGTACCACTGCAGTAGCTTAGATAAGTGAACATTCTCTTTAAAGTGAATGCACATTGAAAAATAAAGATGTCTTTAAATATGCAATGTAAGATAATTAAAAAAAAAATCATAATCTGTACACTGTACACTTTACTGCAAACTGAACTGTACAGTGTATAAATTACATGCGCCTGCTAAACAAATGGACATGATCATCCATACTGCTACCCTTCCAGTAACAATGATGTAAAGATTTCAAGGCTTCTTCAGATCTAAGATAGTGGTCTTAATCTTCAATAATTTGATCTGGTCCAAAAACATCTTTTGTTTCTTAATTTTTTTTTAAATACAGAGAGTCCTGACAAACATGGTAATTTAGTAATGACTTTGCAATCTTCTTAAATTTTTGATGATTGATAAATAGACAAGATTGTAATTTGAGCTTTTTAAAATAAAATCTTCTTATGTCTTAAAAATGTTTGGAAATTTTTTATTGCGTTAACTTACCACTACTTATATTTAAAGATAAGAATGAAATGGATAAAAACCAATTGTTTTTAACCAATAACTAAGATTCCTTCAATTCATTTAATGACTTTTCATTTGATATTTAAAACTTAAGTTTGTTAACAAAACTTTACTCTGTCCTACTACCATTCTAGCATCTAAATAAGGTTTAGGTTCCAAACAATACATACTTTAGTTAGGCCAGGTTTGGATTACCACATTCTCAGTTACTTTTTAATTAATTGTCCTCTCATATCAAACAAATTTTCCTCAATATCCAGACTGTTGTACATCCTTAAATATGATAATAGAGTTGTTACTCAATTTCCAGATCAAATGAGATTCCATTCCACAGTATACGAAATAAAGCCCAAAATTCAAGTATACTATCAGTATATCTGTCTAAGCTGTTGAGAGCCCTGAAATCTGTTGCCCAGCTACCGAGTGTTCCCTTTCTGTAAATAATAAGCTCCCTTGTTTTTAACCAACTAACACTAATTAAACATTTGTCGTTACATTAAATTGTTGAATTCAATTTCTTACAAGACATTCAAGTAATTTTCATCAAGAACAATTAAATTAAAACCCAGTGATATTGAAAATTCAGCTTCCCAATTTATCTTCATCTTGAAAAGTTTTATTTAAAATCAGTATGGATATCTAGCCCAATGTTAGGTCTGCCATTCTCTTTCCATATTTTGCTTTTGTTATATTTTCACAGTTCAGCACTACCTTCCTTTCACAGTTGGATTAGAATGTATTGCAAGTTGGCTTTAAAAAGTTTGGCATGTTTATCAAGTGTATAAGCTGAAGAATTTTTTCCTATGCATGCCAATTCAATTAAATCCATTATGGATAGTTCAAAATTAAAATATTTATATACACCATTACTTTTCACATTTTCACATAAATACCATGAGAGCAGTTTAATCTTTTTATTTCAATATCTCAATGTGAATTTATTTTGGATGCTGTAATATTCTAAATCTGATACAGACAAGATGGATAAAATTTAGCACATTTTCTTGCAAGAAAATACCTAACAAACCAATATTTATCATTCTTCTTGGTACTGAGTTCTTGAATTTTATAACTAGCCTTTTTTGGTTTGAATTTTTTAAAATCTTCAAAATTTTAGATAAAAATGATATTGAATTTTTTAAGCTGAGGCTGATACTTAAATTTATTCTAGTCAATCTATTAGGTTTCCAGTTTTAATAGTGTACATACATATAGTCTGGGTGAGGGTACACATGGTACATGGATGGATAGAGAAGTACATGGAGTTTTTCCAGCTCATGTATACTGTACAGTGACTAGATTTCAACCTCCTAGAGGCGTAGCCAGGATATATTATTGGAGGGGGTAGTTTTCAATATCTAAAAAGAAGCTCCTGCCTACGCCCCTGGAACCTGCTCTAGGCATGCCCCTGCACCAGACCAGAATACACTCAGGGTTCACTCACCACCAGACTAACATTTTTAGTCAGATTTTTTTCCTAGAAAACCTCCAGACCTTGAGCTTGAGGGATTCTTTAAGAGACATTTCACAACTGTGAAGTTTTTCCAAGGTTCAATCATGAATCCTATAGACCTTGGCCGGGTTAAGGTACTTTAATACTACTGTCAACACTCCAAAATTTAGAAATGCATCAATAATTCAGGAAAAAAGACATTTTAAAACCAAAGGAATTGAGTTTTTGTCACAAACTCTGATTTCTTATCACTATATCTTTGCATTTCAATGTCAGAGACCTTAGATATTTCAAACTATGAATAATTGATAAACAATGATGGTTTGAAATGTCAAAGGTTTACACCATTAGGTTGCAAAGATATAGCGATTGTAAGATCAGAATTTGTGGCAAAAACTCAGTTCGCATTTTATTTGTGTGAAAAATTTGTATGAATGGTGCCCTTTTTTCTTGAATTTTCCCAAATAATTCTGAATTTTGAATGTGTAGTGAATATGTGAAGAAATGAATATTTATGTTCTGCTATACAAATTCCCCAACCTGCAACTTATATCTGTAAATGCATTGCAAATAATGTACAGTACAATGTAAAAGAGTACAACAGTTCATACATTGTCAGCAATTTTTTTCTGTTTTACGCAATCATTGTACAATCATTGCACTTTTTGAATAAAAGTGCAACACTAAACTGCAGTGTTGGCTGAATGGAAATCAGTGCAGTTGCAGATGCATTTCTTTATTTTGGCAGTGCAGGCTGCAGTGCTGAACAAGAGTCAGTTTAGACATTAGACGAGCATAATAAATTAGAAACTATAATTTGACTAGATTTTATATTAGGATTTATTATGAGTATCTCCTAGTTGCTTTACATATCTCCTCTATGCTGCCAGGAGTCCTGGTTTAAAGCTTACTAAAGGGCCTTAGTAATGAGTGATGTAGTAGTAGCTTGCTCAGGCCCTTTTCAGGTCTGCAAATATAATTATTCATTGAATTTTTTGCATTAGTAAATAAAATTTAATGAGTGCCAACTAATTTTTAGGTACCAGTAGAACTTTGTACTCAGTCGTACATTGTATTCTAACTAATCAGTGATAGCAATTATTCTTGGACTAATTTTGCTTTGATCAAATAATACATAGAGTAATTTATCTATTAATTAAGTTTTCAATTAGTTAATAAGCTTTTAAACTAAATATATTACATATTTTGATTTCTAAAAGATTTAGGTTTGTGAGGCTGTAAATTTGCTTTAGGGTTAAATTTAGAAGAAAAACTACAGCTATAGGCTTTAATTTTATACAAAAAATGTTGTTATTTGAAATAAAAAACAATAGCAAGAAATTTTTTCTGTTGGGAAACTAAAACCAATAGATTTCATGAAAATTCTATTTTGGTCAAAAACTTCATTTTGAAATCTATAATAGTTAATTTCTTTCCTGATAATCTGTGGGTCGGTCAAGGCTCAATGTTTGATTTTGACTCTTGTTCAGAAAACTGGTTTTTTGTGTAAACTTTGTGTTTGTAAATATTGATCTTGGATAAAGCTTGGCTCTGAATAACTGTTGGGAAAAATATCCATGGGGTTACTTGTATCCCACTGTATGGTTAGTACCCTTCATATACACCCAACCTAACCTTCTTCAATAACTATCCTTGCATGTCTAATTTTGCATGTAGCATGTTGCTTTTAATGTACTGTATTGTGCTTTATATACACCGACGTTGAGTACAGATTTATATGTTTAGGTACATGAAGCAGATGCTTGCCTTGTACTAGCCAACAAATATTGCCAGGTAAAATATTTATTTATTTATTGATTTATTGATTTATTAATTACTAGAAATTCAGGGGGCTTCGCGCCTTTCTTTCTAGGCTTTTAGGGCGATTCACGCCCATCTTCTATTTCAACTTTTAATTGTGGCTTTTTCTCTGAACATCTTCTCTTTGTACAGTATAAAACAAAAACAAAAAAAGTTTACGGATTTCATAATATTTTTTTTGCGCATTTTCAAAATTTTTCAAAAATAAAAAACTTTTAAACATAAATTTTTAAAATTTTGATCATTCATAAATCTTCCCTGGGGTCACGTGAGGTCCCACAAAAAATTTGGGCCCAATCGGTTCAGCCGTTTTGACGTTTATTGGATACAAACAAACAAACAGACGTACAAACACCAAAACAGACAGACAAGCCAAATTTATATATAGATTTGATTATTCATTCTTTAATTTATTGATTTATAATAATTAACAATATTTACTGTTGCTCTTCAAGTTTTCTTATTTTTTGAAAAACAAAGTTTCGCGGATTATTCTGTTTTATTAGGTGCTTTTTCAAAAATAATAAATGTCATTATTTTTTCAAGATAATTTTTAATTTTAAAGGTCTATACAACTTTCCTGGGGTCATGTATAATGTATATATTCTATATATTCCATGTACAGGGTGTCAAGCAAAACATGACAGTAGCAAGATGAATTGAAGGTCGTCTTTGATCTTTGAAATAAATTGCCGCCTTTGTTCGTAAACCTAGTTTTAAATTTAATAATTACAAGATAGTCTAGTCTCTCACAAATAAATTAAAAGTTCAAAGACGAATTTCAAGTCGTCTTGCTAGTGTCATATTTTGTGGGTCACCCTGTATATAATAATATTTAAGGATCCTGATGCTGAAGATGCAGCAAATATTATGCGTGTAATCTCCATTAAGAACTACAGTGATGATATCAGGGTTATTATTCAACTCATGCAGTATCATAACAAGGTAGAATATCAGGGTTATTATTCATGCAGTTTCATAACGAGGTAGGATATCAGGGTTATTATTCATGCAGTACCATAACAAGGTAGGATATCAGGGTTATTATTCATGCTGTACCATAACAAGGTAGGATATCAGGGTTATTATACATGGAGTACCATAACAAGGTAGGATATCAGGGTTATTATTCATGCAGTACCATAACAAGGTAGGATATCAGGGTTATTATTCATGCAGTACCATAACAAGGTAGGATATCAGGGTTATTATTCATGCTGTGCAAAAACAAAATAGGATAGACGACACTATTTACCTAACATGATCTCAACTGATATTTCAACAAAAAATTCTGTCTCTGCATCTTGAAAAATCAAATTTGACAAACGTTAATTTGAATTAGATAAAAAATAAGATTTATATTAAAACTTAAATTGAAAAACAATGGTTAGTCATTAATTATCTAACTTTAATGTAAGAATTCCAGAACACTTACATTTACATCTTTGCAACCTGATGATTTAAACCTTTTTTATTTCAAACTTAGCTTATTAGATCTAATAGAATTCTTAATTTAAAATATCTGAGGTCTACCGTTCTACGACATTGAGTGTCAAAGAACAAAGATATAGGATTTAAAAAATCAGAGTTTGTGGCAAAGACTAAATTCCTTTATTTACATTTCGAAGATTGTCTCTTGAAAATAAAATATCAAAAATAATGTTTCATGATTTCTTCAGAATTAACATTATTAGAATAAAGTTTTTAGATTGTCTATAATATAATAATATAATAATATAACTGTATTTAGGCATATTTGTTAAATATACCCTCCTGGGACTGGAAACAAGGAGATGACGTCATCTGTCTGGCAGAACTTAAACTTGGCTTCATTGCACAATCATGTCTGGGTAAAATACACTCAGAACCAGAAAACTTTCCAAAAGGAAGACGACATTTAAGAAAATAGTTTTAATACGGTGGTAGGCGATGATATCAATAAAATGAAGACGACTTTTAATTTCAATTTTACGGCTTTTGATTTAATTTTGATTTATTTCAAGCCTTTGAATAGCATGGATACACAAAAACATGGAAACAAAAAGAAGCTGTCAATTAAAAAATGGGTTTCTTTTGTTTCTTGTAAACTTGTAATTCCAAAAAAAGCTTAAATAAAAAAGTCGGCTTTATTACGTTCATATAATTGCCTACTTCTGTAGTAACTTATTAAATCACTTTTTAAGTGAAATTGGTCTGTTTTTACTGTATAACTGCTGAGTCACATGTTCTTAACTTGAGTCTAAAAGTTGCAGCTTCCTATTCCAGAATTTTCTGGTTCTCATTGTGCATTCCTTTAATTTTAAAGTGATTATTGTATTTTCAAATCGTCAAACAATCTATTTTATCGACGTTAGTGAAAGATAAAACAAAAACTTATCAAATCTTCAGAACTTTGTTTTATTTAACATAATTGAGCAGAATGAATGGAAAACAATTTAATTTCCCCTTGCACGTAAACGTTTTCGTTGAAACTTAATTTAAATAGCTGAATTTCAATAAACTTTTTATCCATCTTAATTATTGAATGAAATATTATTTTCAGCTCCTGGATTCTCAACAATGATGGCAAACCTGTTTGCCATGAGATCGTTTAAGACGGTAAGACGATTTATTTATCATTTACTTACCTGTAACTTTCATTTCTAGTCTTTTGTCGATTTTTTCTGCAAAAATATCAGAATATCAAATGCCAAATGATCAAAAAAATGTACGCTAAACAATTAGGACAACTATTTTTTTCAAAAATATCACAATTTTACAAAAATGTTAATTTTAAAGTTTAAGGTATTCTTAAACATATTTTTATGATAAAACGTCTGTAAAATGCAAGCTCTTTCTTTCACGCAATCTATTTTTTCTTCTTTCTCTTCTCTTCTATTTTTTACGCTTCTCTTCTATTTTTTTCTCTTCTCCTTTCTTCTCTTCTCTTTTCTTCTTTTTTTTCTTCTATTTTTTCTTCTCTTTTTTCTCATCTTTTCTTATCTTCTCTTCTCTACTCTACTGCTCTCTTATCTCTTTTCTCTTATCGTCTCCTCTTTGTTTTCTCTTTGTTGTCGACATTTAACCGGTTTTAAGATGAACAATGCAGTACGATCCGTTGTTATGATTTTTCTCTGATATGTTCACATTTCTAGCTTGTAGACCTAAATTGAAACGTACTGCGTTTGTACTCCATAATCAGGCATTTGATCATTTGGCATTTGATATTTTGATATTTTTGCTTCAAAAACAGCGGATGAAACAAAAATATTGTTGATCAGTTCAAAACTAATGTATATAATTTGTAAATAGATTATGAAGTTAATTTCTGGCTACGAGTATCGTCCTTTAAGCACAGAGTTGCTGACACCCACTATCAAACTTGCAACAGCCCTAGTTGCACCTTCCGTAGGATTTTTATCTTATTACTGCAACCTGCTTCAAGATGGGCATTTAAAAAAAAATAACAATATCTCTTATGCATGTTTGGTGGCTGATTTATAACATTCCAAAATTTTGTACAAATGTACTTTAAATAAATTTTACGTCATCACGTCGGGTAGGTTTAAACAAACATAGTTTGCTTGGGGGGTAAATATTTGAAATATAAACAATTTTAGAAGATCAAACAAGCTAAACTAAATCAATGGGTCTGTAGGTGTAATTTCAAGTGAACCTTTAATTACAGCCTGACATCTTCGATTAACAAAGATACCCGGAGGCCGAATTTAAAGAATTTGAGCCGCGTTTTAAATTTAAGCCGCAGATCAATTAAGGTTGATTCCACTTAAATTTGTATAACATTTTTCAAGATTTAAGCCGGCAGTCAATTAAAGCCGGTTTTTGGTGGATTTGAGACGTGGCTTGAATTCATTAAATTCGGTCACTGAACTGTTTTCACATTCATGAATTAGCTATCCATGCTTACGATTTTAAAAACTGGTTATTTTTTAATTTTTAATTGTGAATTCTCTTCAATGGAATTGAGTCTTTGGAACAAAATCAAATATTTAAATCACAATATCTTTAGAACTCGATGTTGTAAACCTTCGATATTTCAAACTCAGATTATTTGATCTAAAAGAATTCATAGTTAGAAATATCTAAGGTCTGCAACATTTGGTTCCAATTAGAAAATCAGAGTTTGTGGTAAAGACTCAGTTCATTAGTGAGAAAGAAAAACGACATTCCATATTATTGATCAGATAAAGGTTCCAAGGTGACCATCGATCATTACGTTCTTTAAAGGGTTAATTGAAATTACAAAAACCAATCTCTTTAAAATGATTATTGTATGAGTATATGTATTTATGCTAGGCTTCAATTTTCGATTTTAACTTTTAACTCTGGCTCTTTTATCAATTTTTTTTCACTAAAAACCATTCATAAACTCACAAAAAATCATTTACAAATAAACAAACAAACAGACAAGCAAATTATATATACAGAAGAAGTACTACTAAGTGTATTTGCAGATATAGATACATACTTATATATACATTATACATATATCAATATTGAACATATATGTCTACTGATATATCAGATTTATTCTGATATATTCAGACAACCCTTATCTTGAGTAAATATATATATCGGAAGTGATTTGTTTCCTCCCAGCACTTCTATCTGACAATGCTTCCGGAGTAATAAAGAAAAGTTTACCCATTAATAACTTACTTTTTATTCAGTCTCATTCATCAATAGTATTTATTTTCTTTAAAAAAATATCACTGATTTATTATTTGTTCATTTTAAAAATATCCGGATTTTTTCGTAATTAACTTTTTACTTTTTACATGAAAAATTAGGACCAGGAAAATAATTCACCCATTTTACTGAATTAAAATTTTAGATATTGCATTACCGGTATATCGTGACTATAAAGAGATGCACGTGAATGTTAGAGCTTGAAATTGAAATTGAATAAATAATTAAATACTGCATCGAAATGTCATTCAAGGACTCTAGCAAGGTTTAACATCGGAATTGAAAACTTTTGTTTCCCATTTTGTTTCAATTCGTTTTCACCAATAATATTGTAAAAGTTTACTTTTAAAATTTTTAGCGATCCTATGGTTGTGGTGGTGGTGGTGGTTGTGGTTATTGTGATTATAGTTATTAAAGAAACAGTAGATGTGAGTTCGAATGCACCATTCACAATGATACCTTTTAAATTAAACATTTATCTGAAAAGATATCCCGCCAGTTTTTTTATTAAAAAGGGTTGAATTTTGTAAATAATGTTTCTCTAGTCACTTCGCTAGACAAGCCACAATTATCAGATTATCAGATTGCAGAAACAAGAATATTTTCGTCAATTTTCTTCAGACAAAAGTTTAAAGGGTACCGGTGTGAATCGGTCATGTCTCTCTTTAAATTGAATGATTATTTTAAAACCTGATAAATTTCTAGAATTGACGATTAATTGATTAGCTGGTTGTTTAGAGCCCTGATATGGCGGCCTGGCAGAACGATTATCTTCAAGGGACTGGGTGTGAGATGTACACAGAGACCCTTTCTCCAACATTCACAGGGATGTCCTTCTCCCAAGCATCTGAGTACGTAATTTTTATAAACACTAGGCTTTTAGGGCGCTTCGCGCCCATCTTCTATTTCTACTTTTAACCGTGGCTTTATCTGTAAGCATCTTCTCTTTCTGCAGTATAAAACAAAAACAAAAAAGTTTGCGGATTTCATTATATTTTTTCGCCCATTTTCAAAATCTTACAAAAATAAAAAAACTTTTAAACACAATTTTTTTAAATTTTGATCAATTATAAACCTTCCCTGGGGTCACGTGAGGTTCCACAAAAAATTTTGGCCCGATCGGTTCAGCCGTTTTGACGTTTATTGGATACAAACAAACAAACACCCAGACACCCAAACAGACAAGCCAAATTTATATAGATGCAACATACCCCAATGTCGAAACTTTAGCACTGCGCTCTGGATGTTTTGTAGACAAAATTGGTTAAATTATTAATCCTCATCTTTGCAGTCCTGCGAATTCCTTTTTTATATCTCTAATATGGTATCATTTAGAAACAGCAAAAAATCTGCTTTCTGTTGATTTCCAGCTGTTTTTTAATTTAATTTAGACTTAATCTTTTTTTTTTTGAAACTTTCCCCAATGGAAATCATGTTTACGCGTTAGAATTGCGACAAAAAGTTCCAAACTTTGAAAATCTATATACAAATTTGGCTTGTCTGTCTGTTTGTTTGTTGTTTTTTTGTTTGTATCCAATAAACGTCAAAACGGCTGAACCGATCGGGCCCAAATTTTTTGTGGGACATCTAGGGACCCCAGGGAAGGTTTATGAAAAATCAAAATTTCNATTTTTTGTGAAAATCTGCGAATTATTTTTGTTTTGTTTTACGATGTACACAAAGAGAACATGTTCACAATTAATTTAGAAGATGGGCGCAAAGCGCCCGCTAAGGCTAGCTATTTAAAAGTCTGAAACTCTCACAGAAAAAAGTTGCTGTTCATCATTGATAAAATGTTCTGAAATTTAAAGAAAAAAATCATTTCAGAACTCGTCACTGATAAAACGTCCACAATATAATTGCTGAAAATAATTTCAATACTATCTTCTTCTGTTTTTAATTTTAATAAAAATTCAAATGTTTTTATTTACAAATCGTTTAAACCAAATCGTTTAACTTTTAATTTAAGGTTATGTTTTGTGAAGCTTAAGCTTCTCCTACTAGCTATAGAAGTTAAACCTGATGATGGAGGAGATTCTAAGGTTAGTTTGACAGCTTTTTTTAACTCTGAAGTTTTTAAATTAAGATAAGGCAGACCACATTTGGAAAATCTCACATGGCGTTCACCCTTTTTTATGCTCTTGTTGTCATTTATAAATTTTCGGAAATCAAAGACAATTTTTAAGTTGTCTCTTGATTCCCTTTTTATTAAGACAGCCCAGTTGTATATTGTTTTAACAGTGTTATACCCACAAAGTCGTCGCCTATTCAGACCATTTCTTAAAAGCTGTGTCTCTTTGGTCTATTACTTATTAAAAGCACAAATAGAGTCTGAGAAAGTAATTTTTGGGCAAACAAAACACACGTCCTTAGAAGCACCACCTGTTTTAACTTCCGCTTTAATTGTGCATCATAAATTTTTAGTTCAGATCGGTCAGTTCTATTGGTAGAATTATTAAGGTCTCATGCTTTGTTTGGCCCCTGTAGATATTTAGTACAATACAGTTGCTTGTTCCTCCCAGACAATTAGAAAACTTTAACCCCAAACAAACTAGTTTGGAAGAGTATTTATGGTTCAAACGTCGATATCAACAAAAGAATAAGAAACTATAGTAGATAAGCCATCTCTACTGTAACGGACTTTGAATTTATAATGAGATATATCTTTTTTAATTCAGAGTATATGTATTTTCTATTTTCTATTTTTTAATCTATATAATAAAACAAGACATTCTTACGTTGCGGATAGCCAGCCAAACGGCTGGACCGATTGGGCTGAAATTTTTTCTAGACACTCATGGTTGGCCGGGGGTGTTATAGGCTAAAAAAATTGATTTTTTTCAAAATTTTTTTTCTTCAATTTTTTTTCCACGGGCAACGCGTGGCCCTTCAATTAGTTTCTAATAACACTGTACAGCGTAATTCATGTTCAGTAACATCCTGACATAGCTATAGGTGTTGAAGTTGGAATGGGACCACATTAGTGTTGTTTTAGATCTCCATAAACCCTCGAGGAGCCAAAATACCAGCAAATACAGTTGGTTTCTTCATCGCACAATCAGCTGAGGAGGTTAAACGGTAATAATATGTAGATCATTTTTTAAATTTTAGCTTAAAGATATATGCGAACGTGGAAAATTGAGGCCCCGTTATAGTAATGTTAACAATTAAATTCATCGAAAGGAGAACAATCAAAACATAATTAATTAACACACAGATTTTCTGCGTTGGTTTATTTTCTTAGATAATAATAAATATATATGGATGATATATATATGAGCAGGGGCGAGTATAGGAATTATTCGAGGTGGGTTTAGCACCCGTTGGTTCCTGAGAACCATATTTAACTGATCTAGAGTAGGGGGCTGAGCCCCTACACTCCCCCCTGTATATACGGATCTATTAGCATACAAACACAGACAATATCTAATAAACTATAAATTTAAAAAATGATATTTTAGAGCCTGGTTCTACTGTAAAGCTTGCCATGAAGATGTCAAGGAAGAAAATCAAATAAAAAAATGCAAATGCAAGAATTGTAAGTACATAATCTTTTCCGAAAATTTAGATCGAAAAAATCAAGAAATAATGGGTGCAAGCGCGCATCTTTCCCGAGCCACCTAGATTTTAATATTTTATTTCAAGATCCAAGATTTTTTCTAATCATTAGTTAATTATTATATTTAAGCAACAATATTTAAACCCAACTCTATTTTCGAACCAATTATGATTAATTTTGATTCAACCTTATAATCTTTTATCACCCCTTTTATTATCCATTTTATCGACTCATTTTGAAATCAATCAGACAGCGTAAAATATTGTATATAGAAATCGATCAACCGTAAAAGATATGTAATTTTAATTAACTGTACAAATCTTAAATAAGGTTCATTTAGCTAAACATGCAGAATTATAAAGATTTACCTTAAAGGGAATGTCAGCGTAATTTCAAGTGACCATCAATTCAAGATAACATTGAATATTCGCTTACAGTCCCTTTAATCATTCAAACTAATTTAATCTTCTTTGATGAATGCATTTAAATAGAAGAATATTTTAAACTGTAAATAGATTTAGTTATAATTTTACCTTAAACTACCAGGATCAGATATCTCAGCTCGGAATTTAATAGTTAGAAGTAGTTGAACTAGTTACTCATGAATAAATACTTCTCTGTAGTGACCAAGGGAGCACTAGGGAAGTAATTAGATTATCCATACTTAGCTCAACTACTTCTGGCTTATATAATCCGACCTTTTTTCAGAGTAAAGAGTAAAATAAATGTTTTAATACTAAAAAGTATTTATATTTCCATGAATGAAACATCTGTGTCGATAATCAGTGATTGTATTCTTTACCTGAATAGATCTGACCCTTATTTCTTTATAGATTATAAAGTTACCAATTTCCCCTTCTAAACTAACATCTTTTAATTCCCATCAATGAATCGATTCCTCCGTATTCCAGTTGTTGGTGGTTTGATGATACATTCTGTATTAAAGAGCCAAGAAATATCACATCATATTGCTGAGAAAGGGAAATATAACGGGGGTAGGGAGTCTGTGTGGAACATTTTTACAAAATATCAAACTTCTCCATTTTCTGTTTTTTAACTATCAAAACATTTTAGAGAATCAAAGGAACTATTTACTTGCCTTCAACTATATTTTTCTTATCTTTCACTCTCCACTAAACGCTATTAATTCTTCGGTCAGTGTACTGGAAATTACTGCAGAACACACCAGAGGCTTATTTGAGGATGTCTTATATATCTATTTAACCTGATGAGGCATTAGATAATTCAAACTAGATTTTTTAGTCAAATTTGAAATGTCAAAAGCTTTCAACATCAGGTTGCAAAATTATAGGGATTAGTAAATTAGAGTTTGGGGTGAGTTATCAGTTTTTTGACCAAAATTATATATTTAAAATTGACTTAAAATGCTTTGAATCAGTACTTTGCAATTTGATTTTTCAATTACATAAGATGGAGCAGTTGATATTTTGAATAGAAGTTTGAAACTATGTGATAAACCAGCTTACAAGCATACTTCACTAAACATTCTTCAGTATCTGAAAACATTAAACAGAATTAAAGAACCTGTCATGTTTGTAGAGTGAAACCTCATATCATTGATTTTCTTTGGAATCTTCTGTTGATTAATTCCAAGCGTGGCCTAAAAAACAAAAGAATTGACTTGTTAGGCATTTGTTCAGTTTGGCAGATATAGAATGAGTTTTAATGAGTTAAAGAATTAAGCTAGGTATATTAAATACTGATGTAGGTATATTATTTAACTAATGTTAGGTATATTGAATACTGTTGTAGGTATACTATCCAACTAATGTTAGGTATATTGAAAACTGGTGTAGGTATACTATCCAACTAATGTTAGGTATATTGAATACTGTTGTAGGATACTATCTAACTAATGTTAGGTATATTGAAAACTGTGAATAAATTTAGAATTTTAAAATGCTGTTTACAATGACAACCTGAACAACATAATTTCTGTTTTTTGTTAACTATTTAAATATTCACAAATCATCAATTCTGTGGTCAACTGAATCAGTTTTTAAACTGCATCAGTTGAAGATTCTTGTCCAAACTCTTATTCTCTCTCTCTCTCTCTCTCTCTCTCTCTCTCTGCAGTCTATACACAACTTTTTAAATTGAAAATTTATTAATTTTATTTATTTCCTGATCGTGTAAACTGTGTTGAATGCTAAATATTAAATGTAAACAAAGTACATAATTACACCTTCATCATTCATTAATGTTTGTCCTTGACACAATTACAAAACTAATTATATATTTCAGATGATGATTTTGAAAACATTTTCAGTAAGTTTTTGGCTAAATTAAATATTCTCCGGGATTTCAAAAGTACAGAAAAACAAACGTTGTTAAGTCAAATATCTTAATGTGTACACCGTACACCGTACACTGTACACTGTACACCGTACACCGTACACTGTACACTGTACTGTGTGCATTTTACACTGCACACCATATATTATAAATAAATTATTGTCATTGATATGTTTGTATTTCTGTACTAATTGCACATAATATAAAACCATTCAGCACTTTGCAGCAGGATTTGGGGTATAGGATTCCTACTGTTTATATAATATAATCATTAATCAGCTAATGGATACAAACCATATACAACCAAACCAAACTTAATATATATCAAGTTGATTAAACTGATATGATTTAATTGATTCTAAAGGGTTTTACTATATTTGAAAATTTTTAGAATTATATGAACATAACTGAGCTAAGCATAGAGAATAGAATATATAGAGAGGAATTAAAAGAATCTCTCGGTATGTAGTAAATTCCTCTCTATATATTCTATTCTCTATGGAGCTAAGCCTATATAGTAATTTGGAAATATCGATTTTTGGATCAAAAGTTTGTTGAAAGATTTACCATTTTATTTTTTCACGCGGTAATAACAAGAAAATTTGCAAATTAGATTGAGACCTCGTTCAGGGGTTTACTCAGGCTTAGATATGTTTTTTAGATCGAATCCCTTAAATTTAACAAAGTGCAAGATAGATTTTCCATCAGAAAACCCTGGAAAATATCAAAATGTAATTTCTATAAGAATTCACGTCAAAATACTGAAAACCCCTGTATTTAAAAAGAGTCTTCGTGGATTTCAAAAAAGACCCAATTCTCTGTCCTACTCAGCTAATTATATAGATATTGCTTTGTACAATTTTAAACTTTATAAATCGTAGAAAATTGCTTAGGCTTTGCAGTACATAAACATAAATTGGATATATTACAATTATGTACATTGCACATGTGTCCTTTTAGGCGAGCTTAAAGAGGAAGAAAACTTGTGTAAGTTTGTTTTCAAGTTAAAGAAAGAATATTTTTTTTTAACTTTCGTTTTCAGAAAATAAACTCAAATTCTTTCTCTAACCAAACTCAGGAATAGAATCAATGCATTTTTTCCAGAAATTGTTGCTTAGGTCTTAATTTTTAAGTTTTTCTTTTATTTAATATAGAAAAATTCAAGCAAATTTTTATTCATGGTTTTTATAGGGCCTGTCCCAAAAACGGACAAAATGGAGTGAGCAAAACATAATCATCATTTTTCCAATTCTATCAATAGGGTTCATGTTAACATACAGGGTGTCCCACGAAACATGGCAGATGGTGAATAGTTTAGAATGTCTTCTTCCAAAATTTGTTAAGTTGTTTAATATTAAAGACAATAATACAAATATTATATGGGAGTCATGTTATAGAAAAATTGGTTTCAACGTAAAATATGTTTCAGAAAAAGATTTTTTTAAAAGAAATAAACTGCAAAAAGCCTTTAATATTTATTAAAATATATGAAAGACGACTTTCATAACTATTTACCAACTGTCATGTATCGTGGGAGACCCTGTATGTGAACAGTCCAAGCAATGTTTGAAATTTTTAAAATGGTATTTTGAAAAATTGCATTTTATATCCACTGAAATCTATGTTGATCCCATATTTGTTGTAAAATCCACAACAACGACAATGTGAGATATTAATTATGATTTTTATTCTTTGTTTTGTGATAAACTGTACAGTGTACTAATTGATAAAACACATTTAAATTGCATCATCTTACCATATTCTTCAAACTTCAATGTTGAATTAAAAAAATGCATTTATTGCGTTTAATTCATTACATTACATCAATCAAACCTTAAAGCGAATTTCAATAAAATCAAAGGAATTGAGAATTTGACACTAATTTCCCATGCTTCGCTTTTCTGTTTAACTTTAAATTATTTAATCAAATATTACTTCAGATATTTCTTCTTCAATATTTCTACCCCAAGCATATTTTTGAAGACATCGTTACCTAACTGATTTTGTTCTTTTCACAAACTAAATTCCTTTATTTTGTGAAATCATCTTTATAAAACATGAGTAGTTTTAGTTCCGCTTGTCTAGATCTAGTTCACCAACATATTAGTCTTTAGAGACAGACATAATAGTTCATTGCACGCTTCTTCACATAATCTAAACCTTACTGTGTTTATGTTTAAATATGTGTGAAAGTCTAAAGAATATATTTCAGTGGCTACAGCTAAGCCTGGAGCACCTCCGCCACAGTCCGCCCTGGCCAGCACCAACAAACCAGCAAATGCTTTGAAGAAGAACGTGTCCGTGAAGGAGGACGGAAAATCATTAATGAACGGAAGGTAAAATTAGTTATTCAGCAAAAAAATTGAAAAGTAGTTGAACTAGGCACGAGTAGTCGAAATGCTTCTCTTTTGGTCGGCGAGTGCAAAAAATAAGTTGATTTTAACTTTGAACTTTCTTTCCCAGGGATTCATAAGATGAATCATGAATTGACTACTTTTGAAGAAAGTAGCAAAATCCACATAAAGCTTGTACTTTATGAACTGTCAAGTATTGATTTAAAATTATGATTTTCCAAGTTTCGATTTTCATTTTGAACTCAACTGGATTTTACAATAATTTTTCTAGTCTAGTCTACTTGATGTTTTCTCCGGATTTATTGATTGATTGACAAGACTGAATTTAAAAACAATTAAATTCTTCAATTCAAATTCAATGTTTGTTAAATATATATAAATTGAGGATCTACAGAAATATAATAACATGGTTTTTAATAAACACCTTAACTAATCGATTTTCAGCCGCTGAATAACTGTTATTAAGTAGCTGTCCAACTGGGTTTAAGAAGCTGACTAACTCGTTTTAGATATGCAGCTGACTAACTAGTATTGTTTTGCTAATTTATAGGTTTTTAGCAGCTGTCTAACTGTTTTAGCAGCTGACAAGCTGGTCTTACTTATCAGACTAACCGGTCTGCAGCTGCTGAATAGTCAGGTTTAAGCAATTGACTAACAGGGTTTAAGCAACTGAATATCTGGTTTTAAACAGCTGACTAACTGGTTTTAAGCAGCTGACTAACTAGTTTTAAGCAGCTAAATATCTGGTTTTAAGCAGCTGACTAGCTGGTTTTAAGCAGCTGACTGACCGGTTTAACTGTCTGACTATCCGGTTTAAGTATCTGACTAATTATTTTCATCCGACTGACTAACAGGGTTTAAGTAACTGACTAACTGTGGAACTAACCAAATTTCAGATTAGTTGGAGGGGTGTCTGGCCCCCAGGTTCTTGATGATACATCCTACGGGGGCTATCATCTCTCCTATGAAGTGAAAAAACTTATGTATGAGACCAATCCTTATAAATGTTCCCATCTGCACTTTTTTCTTGCTTTTATTTATTTTTATTTATAAAAAAAATTGACGCTCTGAATTCAATAACAATATTAAATTATAGTGGTTTAATTTTTTTTAAACTTACAGATTGTAAAACTCATAGCGTCACATTTTTCTCTCAAGTAATGTTCTTTTTAGTTTTCAGATAGGCATACATCATGATTATTGTAATTTCTCTGTCTTTAATCAAATTTGAACCCTATTATGCTCTCGGTACGTTCTTCACGATCAGGAGAATCCGCTTTTTGATTTAGTGCTTATCTTTTCCGAAAGTTGATTAGAAAACTTTTATAAATCAAAAGGTATAAAACGACATAAATTAATAGACTTGGTTTCTAAATTTGCTGTCAGACTTCAGTAGTTATTGTTTTTAATTACTATAGCATTTGCTCAAAGGAATTTTGCTGTTTGGAACTTGCCAAATTATATATTAACAATATTCTAATTGGAAATTTTCCTTATCGCTATGGGTCATATTAGCCCCTGAAAAAATTGTATTCAGAAATTGTTGAATTCTATCTATGTTTTTTTTTTACAAATATTATTCCATTTCTCCGTTTACTTATTTCTAAATGTACTCAATAAACTAGTCCCTGCATGTTCATATGTCTCCAGAGCCCGAAACTTAAGACAGGGTATTCGTTGTGAAAACCAGTTTTAAAACTCGGGTTTCACGAATTGGGTTTGGCAGTTTTGTGAATATCAATATTTTTGTAATGAAATATTCTTTTTTTAGTTTATTTATATTCTCCATTTTTTTCGAATCTCTTAAATCAAAATCTACACAAATGTTAGGACCCCAAAAAGGAAACTCGGGAGTTTCGTTCAATGATACTCTTTTAAATTTCGGTCTCTGTAACTGTACAGTCGATATGTACACAGAACTGTACTGTGGGGGGTCTTTTCTTCGTTAAGAAGTTCGTTCATCTCGTAAAAAATCATTATTGCCCAATTTTTGGAATTAGGAAAACATCTGTGACAGATGTTCCAGACAAAAAAAAGTAACGAAAAAAAAATCTTAGTATTTTTGTCTAAAAATTTAGTTTCTTGCAAATATATTTTAGAATATGTCTCCAATATGAAAGCACTCACTATAGGTGATAGATTTATTATTTGGTAATTTTAAAGTTTTCAACCCGCTCTCTTATAGTTTATTTTGACTTATTTAAGATAAATAAAAATAAAACAGTGAAAACGAGAAACGCGATTGTTTTTTTCTAATTCCAAAAGTTTGTAAATTATGTTTATTTTTAAACGTTTCAAAAATCCCTTCTGCTGCTACAGAAAAAAGGAAAATGTACCAAAAATTATTGCATGCCAGTTGATCTGTAATCCCCACTGTACCAACCTTTAATAATTTTCTTATCATTTTTCTTATTATTTCTATAAAAAATATTCCTATTTTTCTAATTATTATAAATTCTTATGAATGTTGTTAGTGTTACTGTAGATTTATATGTATCTGCTTGGAAACCTACTCCTCGACATTATTTAGTTATTTTATGAGAATTTAAATAAATTGATTAAATCATATTTTTGTTATTTTCTAGGCCGACAAATAAAGCGGCAGTGCAGCAAAACAGTGCTAAAATGGAAGTCGGGATAGCAGACGACCAGGTCATATATTCATTCATTCTTTCATTAATTTATTCATCCTTTACATTTATTGTTTGATTCATTTATTCATCCTTCCTTTCCCATTATTCTTTGATTCATTTATTCATCCTTCCTTTCCTTTTATTCTTTGATTAATTCATTCATCTTTTCCCTTTATTCTTTGATTCATCCTTTCCTTCTATTCTTTGATTCATTTATTCATTCTTTCCTTTTATTCTTTGATTCATTTATTCATCCTTCCTTTCCTTTTTTTCTTTGATTCATTCATTCATCTTTTCCTTTTATTCTTTGATTCATTCATTCATTCTTTCCTTTTAATTCTTGATTCCTTGATTTATTCTTTCCCTTGATTCCTTGATTTATTCTTTCCTTTTAATCCTTGATTCCTTGATTTATTCTTTCCTTTATTTTTTTAATTGTTTAATTATTTTTTTCAACCATCCTTACTTTCACCTAATTAATTTTATATTCATTCCTCTCTTTATCCTGCAATCCCGATCCTTTTTATATTTATGAGGTTCTTATCTTTTCCAATAATCGAGGAACCAGGACATTATGATCAATATTTGTACAATCTTATCTTATTCCTAGAACATATACATATATTAGACATTTTTAATTAATCAATAAGTCTGGTCAAAACCTTGATGATCTGAATCTTATTAACCTTATTTAAAGTCTGATAATGTCATTGTCACATATTCTTATTTATAAAATCTGATATTGACATCAGAATATTGTTTAAAAGTCTAATATTGACAGCAGAATCTTATTTAAAAGTCTGATATTAACACCAGAATCTTATTTAAAAGTCTGATATTGACATCAGAATATTGTTTAAAAGTGTAATATTGACACTCGAATCTTATTTAAAAGTCTGATATTAATACCAGAATCTTATTTAAAAATCCAATATCGACACCAGAATTTTATTTAAAAGTCTGATATTGACACCAGAATCTTATTGAAAGTCTGAAAAAGACACCAGAATTTTATTAAAGACACCGGAATCTTATCGAAAAACACTAGAACCTAATAGTCTGATAATTGATATCAGAAACTTAAAAATCTTTATGAAAATCTTGTCTTGACACCATATCATTAATGCAAAAAATTATTAAAGATAACAGAATCTTATCAAAAAGTAAAATAGAAAATTGAATCTGATTAGAAATACTCACCAAAATCTTATTAAACAAGTTTAGAAACACACGAGAACAATAGATCCTTTTCTGTTGTCTGATATTGACTCAGACAACAGTCCAGGATTAAAGCAAGAATTTCATAAGAACTATCTGATAACCCTATCCAAAACTATCTGATAACCCTATCCAGTCAGATAAAACAGAACCTTAATGAAGAACCGTTTTAGGCGAAGGATTTTGATTTTGAGAAGACAGAGATGAAGTACGATAGTACAGGGATGTTTCATTGGACCCCTGCAAGGGCTATAGAGGATTGTATACTGGTGAGATAATATTTATATAGAGGATTGTATACTGGTGAGATAATATTTATACAGAGGATTGTATACTGGTGAGATAATATTTATATAGAGGATTGTATACTGGTGAGATAATATTTATATAGAGGATTGTATACTGGTGAGATAATATTTATATAGAGGATTGTATACTGGTGAGATAATATTTATATAGAGGATTGTATACTGGTGAGATAATATTTATATAGAGGATTGTATACTGGTGAGATAATATTTATATAGAGGATTGTATACNTATCAAATTGATAATATTTATAAAGGATACAAAAAATAGATTGAATACAACCTGTTAAAGATATATTCATTTTTAATTTCATTTTTCTTAAAAATCAGCAAATAGTGTTAAAGATTTCAAAAATTAAGTGTTGGTAAACGAGTGGATTTGCATGTACTTTTTATGTACACAATTTATAATATGTTACCCCCACCCATTCTATAATTATTGGGTATAGTAAAATTGGTCTTAAATATTATTATTATCTCATAGGCTCCACGGGCAACGCCAGCTAAATCATAATTTAAGACCAAGCACAGGCAACGCCGGGGACTCCAGCTATAGTAATATATAATTATCTTGATTGAATTGTATTTGCAGGGCCTCAAACTTCCATTACCATGAGCTGAAGCATGTTGTGATAGTTGGTTCTGTTGATTATATCAGGAGGGAGTGGAAAACCCTCCAGAATCTACCAAAAATATCTGTTCTAAATGTAAGAATTTATTTTTTACATCAACTCAAAGAATCGTTTTGTAAACATATCTTGCTTTTGGACAAAATTTATATTGTAAGATTAAAACTAAACCTTTCGGCTCAGCTATGAATATCTATAATTGCAGACCACATTTTAAAGTCCCAATTTGTATGAAAATAAATCTTCAGAGCTGAAAACTTCAGATTTCTAAATCTCTGTATTAACTGTGGACACTCTTGATTTTCTTCTTAATCCTCTTTTTATAAATATCCCTGCTGGATTGTGACCAATGAGAATTTGGCTTCTTATTGGATGTTTTGGATTCTCCAATCGACACTCTGATTGGTTGAATTTTATACACTTTCAGGGCACAGTCTAAAGATTGCATTAATTCTGAGATTGATAAAAAGAGAAGATCAAAAATTGATCTCGATATCCACAATTCTAAAGATTTAAGCTCAGATCAGATTAGATGAATAGCCAGTAATAGTTGAGCTAAATTTGGCTAATTTAACTACTAACTGAATACACGGGTACTCTACAAGAAGAAGTTTTATTACCCAGACCTATTCCAATTAAATTTTGTAATGTATTAATGTATATTTATTATTCCAGGGTTCTCCGTTGAGTAGAGCTGACCTGCGCGCTGTGAACGTAAATCTGTGTGACATGTGTGTCATCCTCTCTGCTAAGGTGGATCCTACAAATAAAATCTCTGTTCACAAGCATTTTATTAAACAAATACTCGATTACTATTCTCCCCCTTGGGGGATTTTAAAATCGTATCATGCTTTCTCGGCAACTAATCTTTTACGGTTCATTCCCGCTTGTAAACTAACTTGATTTTCTTTTTCAAGTAAATCGAGTCTTTGCCACAAACTCTGTTTTTCTAACCACTATATCTTTGTAATCCAATGTCGTAGACCTTAGGTATTTCAAATTATTAATTCTGTTAGATAAGATAGTCTAAATTGCAAAGATATGAGGATTAAGTAATGGAGTTTGTGGCAAAAACTCAATTCATTTTTTTCTTCTTAAGATGTAACTAAGAAATGAAAACGCTTGGCAATTCAACGGGATAAAGGGGAATGGTTCAACTTAAATATTCTCTTTAAAATATTTTTGCACACCGTCAATTTATCTGTATATTTAGGTTCCCTCCAATGATGATCCTACCCTAGCAGACAAGGAAGCTATTCTTGCTTCGCTAAACATTAAAGCGATGACGTTTGATGATACTATCGGAGTCCTCAGTCAAAGTAAAATAAATATTTTTATAATTTAATATCGTTTTCGTTATTTCGTTTATTAAATCAAAACATAGTTCTATAAAAGCATAAAACTACACTAAATCATGCTGGTCAAATCAAAAGTATGGATAACAAATTCTGACAATTGATAAAATTGAAAATAAATCACAGCTTAGTTTATGTTTTATTCAATAAAACTGATTGTAGATTGTGGAGCTGCTGACTCCTTATCTCCTCTCGGCTCCCCAATAGTGCTCCAAAGAAAGGGATCTGTTTATGGAGCAAATGTCCCGATGATAACTGAACTTGTCAACGATAGCAATGTACAATTTCTTGATCAGGTATCTTGGTTTTCACAATTTAAATAAAACCTCAATAAAATAATAGAAATTTTAAAGATCTTGGTAAAAGAATTGAGTTTTTGTCACAAACTCAATTTTACTTATCCCTTTATCTTTGCAACCTGATAGTGTAAACCTTTGATTATTTAAACTTGGTTTATTTAATCTAATAGAAATTATAGTTTAAAATATCTAAACTCTACTTCATTGGTTGCAAAGATATAGGGGATAAGAAAATCAGAGTTTGTGGCAAAGACTCAATCTCAATTTTGAAGTATGTATTTTTCTAATTTTTTTCTTGTATTGATCGTCAATTTTAAGACATTAGATTTAACAAAATCATCTTAAATAATGTATTTTCTAATTTTTTATAAAGATTTAAAAAAAATTCTTTCGTGCAGACTGCAGAGCATATGTTTCAACTTTCAAGTTTTAAAAGGCTTGTATTCAATTTATATCAATTTAATAAATGTAAATTGTAAAGTGAATGTATCTAAAACAAAAAAGGTTCATAAAGATTTATAAAATATTCATCAATGACATAATGTCAAATTGATAATATTTACAAAATATTCATCAATGACATAATATCAAATTGATAATATTTATAAAGGATACAAAAAATAGATTGAATACAACCTGTTAAAGATATATTCATTTTTAATTTCATTTTTCTTAAAAATCAGCAAATAGTGTTAAAGATTTCAAAAATTAAGTGTTGGTAAACGAGTGGATTTGCATGTACTTTTTATGTACACAATTTATAATATGTTAATTATCTGAACTTTATAAACCATTTAAAATCTGTACAATGTACATTATCTAAAATTGCACACATGCTTTGTACAAAATCGATACTATGTACATTATAAAGAGTTAACTGTGTACACTATCAAGGGGTTAATTTATGTACTCTATAATTTATGTACTCTATGTACACTATAAAATCCTTAACCAATGTACACTATAAAGGGTTTAATCTATGTACACTTTAAAGGGTTTAATCTATGTACACTATAAAGGGTTTAATCTTTGTACACTATAAAGGGTTTAACCTATGTACGCTATAAAGGGTTTCATCTATGCGCGCTATAAAGGGTTTCATCTATGTACACTATAAAGGGTTTAACCTATGTACACTGTAAAGGGTTTAATCTATGTACGCTATAAAGGGTTTAATCTATGTACACTATAAAGGGTTTAATCTATGTACACTATAAAGGGTTTAACCTATGTACACTATAAAGGGTTTAACCTAGTACACTATAAAGGGTTTAATCAATGTAAACTATAAAGGGTTTAATCAATGTAAACTATAAAGGGTTTGACCTAGTACACTATAAAGGATTATAATGATGATCCAGAGCCCGAAATTTAAAAGAGTATCGTTGGACGAAACTCCCGAGTTTCCTTTTTGGGGTCTTAACATTTGTGTAGATTTTGATTAAAGAGATTCGAAAAAATGGAGAATATGAATAAATTAAATTAAATAATATTTCAAAACTAAAATATTGATATCCACAAAACTGCCAAACCCCACTCGGGTTCTAAAACTGGTTTTTACAACGATACCAATATGTACAATTTAAAATGTTTAATCTATGTACATTATAAACTATAAAGGGTTTAATAACTGTGTGCATTATAAAGGATGACGATGATGATCCAGATACTGAACTGTACCTCACCCAACCTTTTGCCTGCGGTACTGCATTCGCTGTCAGTGTACTCGACTCTCTCATGTCAACGGTAACAATTTAAAATGAGTATTTAATATTCATAATAGCGGAGAATTTACGCAAATTCAAGTTACTCTCCATTTATAGAGTTGCATGTCCAATTTACAACAGTAGCCTTTAACTCTTTAGATTTATGATCAATAATGTGGAAGATATCGTCGTTTTTCTAGCTTGTAAAGTGTTTTCTAGCATGTAAAGTGTTTTATAGCTTGTAAAGTGTTTTCTAGCTTGTAAAGTGTTTTATTCTCACAATATTCGTTAATACTTCTGTTGCAAGAAATCCACAACTCACTTTTACAGAGAAACCTTAGTATTGAAAAAAAAAACTATTCTAAAGAGAATTCATGGATACCTCATTTATTTTTGATCAGATAATGCTTTTAAGGGTACCCTTGTAAATTACACATGCCAATGTAAGTGTTCAGGGTAAATGTCCAGGGTAAAACTCTATAAATATTTAACTTTTTTAATGATTATTTAAATATATTTATGTCTAGAAATTGATTAAAGAAATGACAGCTGTAGATAATCCGATCTACATAAACATGTTAATCTATTGCCTAGTATACTACTACTAGATAATCAATAATTGATTGATTGATTTATTTTAGACTTACTTTAACCAGAATGCTCTCACATTGATAAGATCTCTGATAACTGGAGGAGCAACACCAGAACTAGGTATACAATATACATACAATATTTACAGGGCGTCTCACAAAAAATGAGACCTGAAAGTGAAAGTTTTTAATTATAACAAGCAGAACATTGAAGTTGATCTTCTGACCTCATTAAAGACTTTCTATGGTAAACTAAATGATTTGGCAAAGAAAATGCAAGGATAATTTTTAAATATTAGTTGCATAACTACATGTGATTTTTTTTCGTCTTGTTTTTAAATATTTTTTTTTAATTCTTTAAATGTATCCTCTAAAATGGAGAATTTCAAATATTGAATTTCCGCTCTTAAAAATATAAAACATCGAAAAAAACGTCTAATAGCTCTCAAATGAATCCTAAAAAAATCTCTACAATACTGCACTTTCAAATCAACTACTATGTCTAGCCGGTCACTTCCTTAACAGACTAAGCATGAACTGAAAAAATGAATATTTATTTATTTTAGTTAATCATTTATTTTTATTTTTTTAGAACTGATACTTGCTGAAGGAGCAGGCTTGAGAGGTGGATATTCTACGCCAGAAACTCTCTCCAATAGGGATAGATGCAGGTAGGAACCAAGGAACTCTCTCCAATAGGAATAAATGCAGGGAGGAACCAAGGAACTCCATTAGGGATAGATGGAGGTAGGAACCACGGAACTCTCTCCAATAGGGACAGATGCAGGTAGGAACCAAGGAACTCTCTCCAACAGAATAGATGCAGGTAGGTACAAGGAACTCTATCCAATAGGGATAGATGAAGGTAGGAACCAAGGAACTCTCTGCAATAGAGATAGATGCAGGTGGGAACCAAGGAATTCTCTCCAACAGAAATAGATGCAGGTAGGTACCAAGGAACTCCCTCCATTTGAGTTAGATGCAGGTGGGAACCAATGAACTCTCTCCAATAGGAATAAATGCAGGTAGGAACCAAGGAACTCCATTAGGGATAGATGAAGGTAGGAACCACGGAACTCTCTCCAGTAGGGATAGATGAAGGTGGGAACCAAGGAACTCTCTCCAATAGGGATTGATGAAGGTATAGGAACCAAGAAACTCTTTCCAATAAGGATAGATGCAGGTAGGAACCATGGAACTCTAAATAGAGATAGATACAGGTAGGAACCAAGGTACTCTCAATAGGGGTAGATGCAGGTAGGAACCAAGGAACTCTAAATATTACAAATATTTACAAATAGTTTCTTTATTTCCCCTGTTGCCTGGTGCCTAGCAATAAATATTTTGTATTTAGGGTTGGTCAGATCTCGTTGTTTGAAGGACCCCTGGCATCATTTGGTGAGGGAGGGAAATATATAGATCTGTTTGTTGCAGCTCTTAGAAACTATGGAATGCTTTGCATCGGACTTTACAGGTACAAATATATATTATATATAAGGGTGTTTGTTTGGGTGTTTGCTTGTTTGTTTGTATCAAACAAAACTTTAAAACGATTGAACCGACCGAGCCCAGTATATTTAGTGGGACCAGGGAAGGTTTATGGCCGGTAAAAAGTTTGGTTTTATTTTTTTAATTTTCTAATAAAAGCAGGAGAGTCTGGTAAATTTGTTGTTGTTATCAGTTTCTATTACACAAAAAAAAATATGAGTATAAAAGTATGATTTACATGTTCACTCTTTGAAACGTAGTGGACACACCTTTACTTTTTCTCTTTACGGTTTTGAGTCTTTGCCACAAACCAGGATTTTCCTATCTCTATATATTTTCAACCCAATGCCATGAGACCTTAGATATTTCAAAATATTAATTTTGTTAGATCCAATAATCTAAGTTTGAAATATCAAAGGTTTACACCACCAGGTAACAAAGATATAGGGATTAGAACATTTGAGTTTGTGGCAAATACCACAGCGCCACAGTTTTTGAAAAGGAGCGAGTACTTAATATTTATTTTCTCGTATCTGAGATGATTAATAGTGAATAGTTTTGTGAGTTATGTCACGTTACACCCTTGTTTCATCTTTCATCTTCATTTTACGTCTGATCCAATCAGAGTTCAAGTCACGTGCTTATCGATCATCCAAGGAGAGATGAATCCTGAAAGCAGTAGCTAAACAGTAAACGGAAATGTGTACTTCTACTGAAACAAGGGTGTTTGAGAACTTTATGGATTGATTACAAATTGAATAATAATAATGTTTTATTTGAACCACCAGGATACTGTAAGTAATTAATTAGAGCTTTAACTTTTTTATATTTTTAGTATTTTAGAATTTTACTTTGATTGAAATATCATGAATAATTTATTGTTATACTTTTCCTTTATTTCTAAAGGTTATAGTTAACTTTCAAGGACTAGACTCCATTCCATTCCCCCCTCCCTTCCCCCCCCCTCGGACTACCTAAAATACCCTTATTTCCCCCCTTCGAATCCTAATAACCCTCCCCCTTCCTTCCCCATTACCCTTCCCCCACTCACTCTT